TATTCCATGGGTCGTAACCCTATGTTCGGTCCTCGTGAACTCACGATCCTCCCCTGCATCTTTTCCTCTATATGGTGGTCGTTATTTGCCGTAACTCCTTGGCTACTGCATGTCGACGTATTAGATATTTGGCTTCTCACTGAACCTTATTCTTATCAGTGCACTGGAACCTCGTCCTCTCACTTATGAAAGAGTTGCCACAAAAACGATCCGCTTAGGAATTTGTTATTTCTCCTTCCCGAGACGTATCAAAACCTCGCACTGTCTCCTAGAGTGATTTCCTAATCATGATTAGAGTATACTGGAGATTCTAAAAATCCTTAAAAGGCCCTTGACTCGTTTGGCCAAAAAAAATAAACCTGACATCCTTTTGCCTTTCCTTTAAAAATGAAACCTTGAAAAAAAAAACAGATCGTCACTCCAGTATTCCTTGGAGACCAAGAAACAGAGGAGTGCCGGCTCTGATACCAAAATGTAACGTCCCGACCTTTTTCGAAAATCAAACCACAACTCAAACCCAAAAACCGGTTACTTCGGAGCAGCCAAACCATTTTTTTAAATAAACAATCTGACATTATATTAGGAAGTTCAAACGAAAAGCCCTAACACTTGGGCAATCAAAATCCAAATACTTAAACGACTTAACCCAACATCTTGAACCTTGAATCTCCAGTACATATACTCATAATCATAATCATAAAATAACTTTCAAGTTTTAACTCTAACTCTTCACCCAGCTCCTTGACATCTCACTTGTACTGGCACGGCCGGTCACCTCATCTTACTTCTTCTCGGGATGCACTTCCGCTAACCCAACCTCAACCTGGTGAGTGAGAAGGGGTCAGTCTCGTCGTTACTTCCTAAGGTATTTGCCTAAGCAAGCCCTACTAACACATTATTAGAAATTACTTCCTCCTACATGAAAGCCGTTCTCGCTTTCATCCTAAACAACTCATTTCAACTCTAACTCATAGAGGTTCTCAACTTTTATCCTTAAATCATAGAAGTTCTCTACCACTACCTTAACTTATATACTTATTACTAGGGAATCACCGCGTTACGTATCGCCATCCGGTGTCCCTATCCTCAAGGCAATGGTACTGCGTTACGTATCGTCGTCCAGTCCATGCCCGGTCAACTACTGCGTTACGTATCGCCGTCCAGTAGTGACCCGACCATCTACCGCGTCCAGTAGTGGCCCAACCGCCCGGGGGTTCAGTTACCATCATCCATACATCACAAACACACACATACATAGCACAACGCGTGCCTCCACCTTAAGTAGGCGGTGGGATGCCTCACACACATAATCGCGCTTACTTGAAAATTAAATAACATAACTGAATTAAATAGGCATAAACTAAAAGACCTCGACGGAGATTTTACCCCCTTTACACTCACCTCGTTAGCCGACTCTGATCGATCGACGCGACTCCTCTTCACTGTCGGTTGATCTATGTCATCGTCCGAGATTCCATGCTCAATCATCTCCTTTTGCAAATTCTCCTATTAAGTATTTAGGCAACACTTAATACTCATTTCTACGAACGTAACTAATTAAACGACCTCAAATTTGGTTGATTCCAATCCAAAATTCCCCCATTTAATCTTTCCTAGGATTCCCCACCAAATTCTGGAAAATTACCTTTTCGCCCCAAAACGGCAAATTACCAAATGGTACTCGAAGTTCCCAGGTTTTACAATTCGGCCCCAAACTTCCAGAATTGCACAAATCAGTCCTCCAGGCCAATTTCCACTTCCTGATTTAAACATTTTAGTCCAAATGGCCTATTTCAATCTGGTACCCAAATATTCACTCATTACAACCCACCCCAAGGCCTGGTCAATTACGTTACGGCACTCAGACTTATTAACTTAACCAAATTTCCCCAATTCCAAAAAGACATGAACGCCCTTGACCATTAATCAAATTTCCAAAACGACGCCATTGGACTCCAAAAACCACGGGAGAACAATTCACCTGGACATCACCGCCGCCGTCGACGCCGGGGTTCCGACCACCGTCGCCGTCGACTTTCTCCCCACAACAACCCCCTTCCTCCGGCTCCTCTTCTTCTTCCTCGAGCAGCGCCTCGCCTGCCACCGCCGGCGGGTGAAGCTTTTCCCCGCCGCCAAGCCCGTCGCCACTTCTCCGGCCGCAATTCGGAGGGAAATGGCGGATTGCTGAGATTTCCCGTCGTTTGGGTGGGTAATTGCTCGGTCGCGCCGACGTTTCCACTCTGTCCTTCACTCTGCCACCGTTGGAGTCGACAGTACCACTCCCCGCCGTCGCCAAGCCTCCGACCTTCTTCTTGCGTCCCCGAGACACTACCCGCGTTCGGATCCACCTCGCTCCTCTTCCTGTTGGTGCCGGCTCCATCTAGCCTCTCGAGGAACATATGCTCACTGCTCTCCTCTTCTTCTTCGGTTTCCGATTTCCCCCGCCCCTCTCGTCATTGTAACTCAAACCCGATCAATTAAAGACCCTAAATTAATCAGCCATTAAGTCCCAATTAAAATCCGAAATCGTCAGTTCCGTTACCCAAAACTTACGCCCGTAATCGCCGAGAGGCCTGCTCGATTGCCTCACCTTCCTCCCCGCAACCTTTCGTTCCTCTGTTCTTTAATTTCACCCTGTTTCCACTCTTTTGGTCGAGCTTTCCAGAGGAAGGCGACTCCTCTTCTTCCTTTCCCGTCTGGGCCCAAGCCTGCTTTCCCCCTCACTCCAAAACCTCCTCTTCTTCCTTGACCCGGGCCGCAAGCCCGCTTCTTCTTCCTCTCCTCGGGCCTCAAGCCTGCCCCGTCCCTCCTTCCCACTCCGGGCCGCAGGCCCAATCCACTCCCCTTCCCTCTCTTCTCTTCTTCTCAATTCGGGCCAAAACGCACGCTATGGCATTGCCAACCACTCTCAGTTCAACCGCGGGTAGTTCTCCCGCCCATTTCAACTTATTTCACAGCCTAGCCACTCACAACCCAGGCCCACTCCTCCTTCTCGGCCCAAACCAAACCATAGCAACTAGTCACAATCTAAAACATCCATAACCTCCTCGTTTTATATCGAAATTCGACACCGTTCGAACCAATAGTTCACGTTTTTAATCCTCCTCGATATTACGATGAAACTTGATGAATTTAACTAAGGGTAAAATAGTCATTTTAACCCTTAGAAAGATCGGGGTGTAACGATCAATGGCCCCAGTTCACGGTCTTAGAGACGGTGAACTACCTTGTAGTCAATAACTTCACGAACCTCGCTGAACTGCCTTGTCCACTTATCCCAAAATTCGACCTCGACCCTTCCACAAATGCTAGGACCTAAAATGTATCAAAATAAGCACAACCTAGCGTGAAATATGTCGAGGAACGATGAAATGCTAAGCTAAACGAATAAGAAATGAGGGGTAAAATGTGTACATTTGGGCCCAAATCAGAACCCCGTTTGCGAATGATTGATTTTGATATATTCAATCGAGGCATTAGTCAGAATTGCATGAATCTTGATCAAACTTGTGTGATTCCTGCTTTAACCTAGAACGATAGTCTCTGCATAGGTTAAAAGAGCAACCTTAAATTCGAAGTGGTGAATCGAATGCTTTAGTCAAGAAGTCGATTCACTACTCTGTAATGGAATTAATGCTAGTAGAGGAAGTTTGGTGTATTAGTGCCTTGCTAGTTTATGGCGGTGGAGGTTAATCGCCCGCCGGGTATTCGAACCAAGGGGGTCTGGTCTTCTTTAGTCGAGATTCCAGACTTATCAAGAACTTTCCATCTGAACAAATGGGAATATATAATCTGAAATAGTTGCATACTAGGGGGAAACATACATGGATGACCTTTAACATACTTGGAAAACCGGAACATTTCTTGTGTTTTGTTTATTTTGCAATTGAACCACTCACTGCACTTAGTTTGCTAGATAATAGAAGTTTACAGAGTAGGCAGCAGATCAAGACCCCGGGTTGATAAATTAAACTGAATCACTATTCTACATTTCCATCCTACGATTACACTTGGTCATAGTTTGTTGTTGTGTCATAGCGAGTCAGTTTCCTCTATTTCGTTATATGTTTATTCGAATGAATGCTAAGTCGACCTTGCACACCTTTGAGGTGCAAGACTCGAAATCCTAGTCGTTTAGGATGGGACTAGAAATAGTAGTCCTACTCGATCGAACGTCGTGTCGCCTCAATGAAGAAATTCGATAGGAACTTGTCGCCCATTAGTTCGCGTAAATGCTTCGACACAAGGTGAGATCTAACGAAATAAGAAATCGGCAGCTCGTATGCCCGATCATTGAGGGATACTGATTAGGAGACCTAGGGAGATCGATGCCTATGCGACGTCTTCCTTCCCTGCTCTCCTACATCTCCAATAGCGTAGATTTCCTTTTCTGCACTTGTTTTCTATTTCGAACGCCGTAGTTCCGCTAAATCGAATGAACCTCGACCTCCTAAACGACCTCTTCTTCAATAGAACCGTACCTTGCTTCCAAGTAAGAGTTCTGCGAGAGGCCAAGGGAATACGATCCTAACCTTCGGGTCATGTAAATTTTCTCTAACTACACGACGGATCAATAGTATATTTCCCAACCCGTAATGAGTGAAACCTAGCTTCTAATTCTCTAAATCATAAGACTTAAACCCAGAGATATTGCATATAGTTTGTTGGATGTTTTTGGAAAAATAATAACCGTCACTTATTGTTTCTAGTTATATTGATCTTAATTTGTAAAATTTAGAAAATTAAAACCTATATTTTATTCATTAAGGGTTAAAAAAATACTACGATATGTCCCATGCCCCGGTCAATATGAGCTCTAGATAACATTTGCTTAATGATGTGGCTTACTTCTTTTCCCGCCACGGGCGTTCGAGCGGCAAAACAAATACTTGCCCGGACAGAAATCCTTGCACTCTAATGAATCCTTCTAACCGTTGGAAACACGCCTAAACGCGTACTCCTCAGTCTCTTTATAAATTCATCTTCCCTTCTCTCTTCAGGATTCCAGTACCGGACAGGAAATCAAGAAAAGAGCAAGAAACAGAAGAGGAAATCGGCGCTAGAGATCGTACAAGAATGTCGGCGGTTTCGATTTGGCAAAATGGTGGACCGTCGTCGACGGCGGCGGGGGCGAGCAATGCAGCGGCACAGTTGCCTCCGGGCGGAAAGTTCGTCCCTACGGACGGCGAGTTGCTTGGGTACTACCTCTACAACCACATCCGCCGCACATTGCCGTCCGATCACTACTCGGTGATCCGCCACCACGACCTGTACGGCGACGACGAGCCGTGGGAGATCTGGAAGCTCCTCCAGTCCGGCGAGCAGCCTGGCGACGTTTACGTCTTCACCAATCTGAAGAAGAAGGTGAAGTCCGGTGGCGGCAAGGGCACAAGATGCGACCGGAAGGTCGGGAAGAGCGGCGGGAGCTGGCACCGGGAGGACAAAGGAACGGAGTTCAGTCTCATCCGCCGGGCACGGTCGCCGCTGGAGAAGGACGAGAGGTGGATTGGGACGCGGAAGAGGTTCAATTACAGAAACCCTAACCCTAATTTCGCGAACGAGAGCGAGAAGTGGATCCTCCACGAGTTCGGCATGACCAAGGACGGCCGCTGCGACGAGGAGAGCGAAGTGGTGTGTTTGCTTCGGAACAACGGCTCCCCGTCGGCGAACGCAGTTGTGGAGGCGGCGAGGAGCTCGGCTCTCGCCCGAAGGAAGAGAAAGCTCGAGGATTACATTATGCAATTGGGATGCGCCGCCTCTAGCAGCAAAAGAGCATGCTATAATCCCGACCCACAAATTCCCCTGCCTTCTTCAGCTGTGGAGTGTTCGAGTTCGAGTTCCAAGGCTCCTCTCTCAACGATGGTGCTAGAACAACAGCCAGAACCAGTCGAACAAGAGCAAGATTCGACGACATTAGACATTATCTCGATCATCGATTTCGATTCTCTGGGCGACGAGTTCGACTTCGACTGTGGAGATCAAGGAGGCAGTTGTACTGATCCACAGTCTGTCTTGGACTTTCCACAAGTCAGTAGTGATGACCACGATGACTATGAGCACCATTCTGCTACTGCTACAGAGACAGTACCAGAAGAAGCCAATGAGCCTCTCTATCTGCTTCAACCCCCAGCTCCCACTGCTGATTCCCAGCCAGCAGCAAATCCACTGGTTGATGAAGATCAAGGAAAGAAGATTATGGTCGTTGTTGCGGAAAATGATGGTCAACAAGCTGGTGCCATGGCAGCAGCAGTAGCTGATGATACTCCAGAGGGCACAGAGAACATAGTGGTGGCTAATGCTGACAATGGTGGACAAGCTACTGACGCGACCATGGAAAGGATTGTGCTCCCATTGGAGGCTGCCATGGGAGGTGGAGGCTGCTGTGATTATGATTATGGAAGTACAGATCAGGTGGAGATGCTGAAGGGTTATGGTTTTGGAGGTGGGGGATTCAGTGACCTGTTGGACATGCCGTTGTCATTCGAGTTCCCTCTTTGTGGGTTTGAGCAGATGGATTGTCCTTCCGCATTTGTTGATCTATGGAATTTTGGTCTACTGTAGACAACGATGAATCTGTAATTATATCCTAACAATAGGAAGCTGTTAACGACACTGTAGTTCTGCTCTCATTGATGTGGAAAATGAATTCTTTTGTATGCAATTCATGATCATGATTTTGTAATACACGCAAGAGCCAATTATATAGAAAGGAGACCTCTAGATTATAAATAGCACATCGAAATCACCAAATCATATGACACAAGAAGATGCGACAATCACAAAATTAGGAATCTTTTGATCTAATAGAGGTGGCGTCGTCTTCTCTTATCCACCAAAGAATAATTTTCACCAATTCCCCTTTCTTTGATTTGTGCTCAAATTCATTGCCCAAATTCAACGTCTAACATTCAAATGAATCACTTCCAACAACTACCAGCTTCGAATCGATTATCTGTCTAGTTGAAATGATGGTTCACAAGACCTAACTTTTTCAGGAAACAAACAGATTCATCTAACCAAACTGTAGAATGTGCATCCGTTACAACAAGGCATGCGAGACCCAGAACAGCTTTTTTTTTAATCTCACATCGGTGTATAGGATCAGAAGAAAGGTGATTTCAGAAGCGTATACATTCTCTATATGTCCCATCGCTTTTTGACACGAAACATTAAAGCCGACGATTTGATGTCGTCCTGTGGCACTTGGAGCATGAATTGGACTTTCATCTTCATTGGTGCAGATTTAGCGTTTCCACCTTCATCCCCAACCTAAAGGGATAGTGATGATCAGCATAAGTCAAAACAAGTGATATCTGGAATCTTGAGTAGAGATCACATCTCAGCAAGTTGGGCAAATACAAGGAAAAACTTACCCAGAGCGATGCCCAGCCGAGCCGGACATCTGAATCATATCCGGTTTTGAACTTGAAGTCCTTGCCATATGTATGCTTGTACACAGCACTCCAGTTGTTGGTATCAAAATGATACCAGTAGCTGGACAATGCAAACCATGGAATGAATGTGTGGATAGAACAGAGATAGATAAACAATAACATCTTATACGGGTCTGATGAAACCCCTTAACTAACCAATCATATAACAGTTCTGCAACAGGTAATAGCTAACAGGTAAGCCCTCTACCATATAGAATTGTATTGAATTACTGAAGCTTGATTCGTACAGGACCAAAAGAAGTAGGCATTCCAGGTTCTCTTCTAAGTTCTAACACCTAAAACTGCAACTCTCTTTTCCATTCTAAATTACTGAGAAGTACTTCATCGTGACTTTTCATTCAACCTCCGAATCATAGAATCAGGAAGAAAGAAAGATTAACACATTTACCCGCATCTACACAAGCACAAGTTTCTTTTACGGTACACAAGCACAAGTTAAAGTATCTATTTGTGGTGAAATTAGAATCATCTTACTAGGAGGGCAAAATCTTACCTTAACTTATTAGAAGTGTTGAACCGACGCTTGAACGCAAATGACATAGCATTTGAAGGCAGTGAAATGGTGGGGATAAACGAAAGTGCCTCGTCCTGGAATTAGATAACAATTCTGTCAGTAAATAGATGAAAAATGGCGTTCATCAGCCAAATGCTTGATCTAGTTAAGCAAGTAAACCAGAAACTCTTATCACTTGTATTGAATAAGTGGTATAAACTATGAAATGGTAACACCCGATGGAAGGGTCCATCATGCGAGATGGGAAACAAAGGGAAAAAGAACACCATAATGTAAGCTAAACCAAGCAACAGAATTTAGAACCTACCTTATAGGAATATCTTAGTTTCAGTTCCTCTTCGCTGTACCGAGCAGAACAAAGGCCATTCAACAGTTTAGCTTTACCAAGTCCACTAATAGACAGTGCCCTTTTCTCTTCTGCTCTCTCCGCTTCCTCCAACGAAAATTCACCGAAAGGGAACTTTAGAGTCGCTCTAGGCTGCAAACATAAACAACCTCCATCAAAATGATGGGAAAAACTGCGTAGAAAATCCCAATTCTTCATCAATCTAATGTTCTAAGTAACAACGCAATAAACACCAGTGTAGAGTATTCTTTTAGCAACAAGCATCAGAAACCAGAGTAAAAGAACGGTTGAAAACATTCTTGCAGCTGCCATAAGTAAATCCCCATGGAAAACGACCATGAAGCTACCCGATTTTGGTGGATCATGAAAGCTTGTGTAGCTAAAAGATGTTGCAATAACAAAAAAGTTAGCTCATTACCAAGCCAACTGCAGGAACAGCAGACGAGAGCTCAAGAGCATATCCAGGTTCAGCAAGTTTGGCCACCACTGCAACTTCTCCTTGTTCCGCCTGAGAGGAAAAACAACCATGAATATCAAAACAAGATCTTTTGCTAAATCAGGACTTGCGCCCACCCGAATTCCACCACAAGGCGACAGTCAAACTAAGTTCACACTATTTCCTATCATATCGAAATATTATTTTACCCATCAATACCATCGCCGAGAAACTTCAAACCCAGTTGAGAAACACAAAGCGAATTAGAGAAATGGGACCTTGACATCATGGACGCCCTTGAATTGAAGCCTGGAACCGACGTCGAATGAGGTCTTGATGAGCGCATTCTGCTCTTCAACATCGTAATGAATAGAGAGGTTCTTCGAGATGAGCGAAACCTGAGGCTCGGAAAATTCTCCCTTGCCGTTGTTCTGAAAAGTGAACTTGAGCTTCGCAAAGCTGTCGAGCAGCTTGCAGGAGACCTTGTTGAAGAACACGGAGCTGTCGCTGTCGAACTCTGTGGTCACCCTCAATGAAGGCCTCCTGGATAGCACGGAGATGAACGGGGGCAGTGGCTTCGGAGGAACATCAGTCGGTGGAGGCGGCGGTGGCGGCGGTTGTTGTGGTGTTGCTGAAGGATCTGCAGGTGGGAATTTGGAGAAGAAGAAGTTAAAGCATGGATTTGGTTGACGGGATAATGTCAAGGAAGGCGGAGAAGAAGAAGAAGGGGGAGGAGAAGAGGTGGGTGGGGAATCCGCCATTTTTGGTTTGGTTGTTCCGCCGGTGAGAGAGTGAGTTTGGTGCTTGAAAATGGAGGAAGAAGACACTTCACCGTCAGAAAGTCAGAACCACAGACACCTAGCTGGGAGATTTACAGGTCGGATTTATACGGTTTGAATCCTAATATTTACTTTGAATTACAGTTTTACCCTTAAGCTTTGTAATGTTTGCAGTTACGTCCTTTATGGATTTAAAAGTCAACTTGACACTGCCCATTTTTTCCGGAAAAACTTAGTGCTTCTAATTTCAGGAGAAATTTTACACTGATATATATAGGGTTTTGTTTTTATAGGAAAAACTTAAAATTGTATATTTACGTTATGGTACAACTTCAGATTGTACCTATATTTTTTGTACAAATTTTTTTATGGTACAACTTGAACTTGTACCTTTTATGTGATGGTACAACTTCAAGTTGTAAAGTTGTACCATAACATAATTGTACAAATTGCTTTATGGTACAACCTAAACTTATACATTTAATGTTATGGTACAACTTTAAGTTGCACATTAAAGTACCAATACTATATAGCATAGTAGAATTGCTCCTAATTTCAGTGATTATATGTAAGCAAAGTTGTCGCGGATAGACCCGTTTTGATCATGTCTCGGTGAGAAAAATGGGTTACACATATTAGTTGGATCGACACGCTGCAAGGTTATTGGTTGGAGATCACATAGTATCGTTTTTTTTTTCTCGGTAATTAGGTCACAGTATCGTTTTTCCTTTTGCTTAATATGCATTTTTTCCGTTTTCCTCTTCTTCTAATCATATCTTTGGATTCTAAGTTGAAATTGATTTTATATAACTTATAATTCTGTGAATTTTCACTATGTTGGATCTAAGTACGATATGTTATTTTGGTTTAGTGTTATGTATTATTACTCATATGTTAGATGAGATTTGATATAATTTATAAATTTATGAACCATATAATTACTTTTTTTATATATCTGGGCTAAAGTGATTGGATCATTAACCCTCAATCCACTACCTTGATCGGGCCAACAGGCTAAACCGGGTTGACTTCTTTTATGACAAAAGTTAATCAATCATATATTAGATTTCAATAAAAGGCAATTACATCCCGGAACTAAGCCAGACCATAAAATCAAAGAAACGACTTGTAGTCGAATACAATAAAAGGGTATTTTCTCGCCATCAAGGTTGTCAAACCCGGCTCTAGCCGGCCGACCCGACCGAGTTGGGCCGTAACCGAGCACAAAAGGGGCCAGCGCAAGCCATATTCTGAGCTAGCCAGCAACCTGTCAAAACCGGGGTCTGACCGGACTTATCCGGCTACCGGCTAGTGATGAAACCACGACATTTTGGATGTTGGGATTCATAACCCTAAATCCAATTCTGCCATTCCCTTCCGTCGAGTCGAGCGATGCAGCAAAGCAGCCGCTCGCTCTCCTCTGTCTCTCGAACGTCCTCTCAAATCTCATCCTCCTTCCGCCGGCGTCGATCGGCGCCTCTCCCACACCTCAACCAAGCTCCCCTCGCCGCGACGGCTACTCCCCCTTTGCTAGTCTCGACTTTCTAGCCCAGATCTCCCTTCGAATGTCTCCATCTCTTGGTGGACACCTAATTCGTCGAAGGAATCAGAAGGAGATGAACTACTAAAACCACTATGGGTCACAAAGTATTGCATGATCTTCTTGAGAATGGCCCCCATTCGAGCATCCCGAGTATCAGACCGATTGATCTTCTCAATGACCACCTTCGCATCAGCTTCAAACCTCGTCTCCACAAATCCCTAGCTTAGACACTAGAGAATGGCCTTCCAGAGAACAAGCAGTTCAACCATCATAGGATCATCAATCTCCGAAAACTGGATCCCTTTAGCCAAGAGGACCTCCCCACCTTGATTCAAACTAATCATCCCACCTGCCGAATGTGATCTACTTTTAGTTGCCCCATCACACATGCAAACTGTTTCGGGCTCATTTGTACACTTTTTACCCCTGGTTTGCTTAGTCGTTTTAAACATTTTTACTCATGGAGGTTTGGTTTTATATCGGGTTGTGTCTTGTTTTGGTGTTTTTCAGACTTTGGCAGGCGGAACCAACCCCTGTGAACTGCCAGGCATCCAGAGCACAAAGCGTTTTCACTGGACAGGAGTCAGCTCAGGGTCGTAAGACCGTGAACTCATACCATTGCCCCTGAACTGGGATAAGTGATGCGACGCGTTTCACATTGGTTAGTGGTCTGGGCTTTCAGTTCAGAACACGGTCGTGAACTAAGACCAATCTGGGTATATAAAGGAGGTTGAGCCAAAGGAGAAAGGAGAGAGACCTAGTGTGAGAAACTTCTTCTTCTTCTTCTTCTTCATATTTCTAGAGTGAGAAAGTGACAAACCAAAGAAGAAGAGAAGTTATGGTTTCATTTTCAAGCAAGGAATTGGGAATTCCTCCCCCAAAGGAGGATCTCTTCAACACAAGGAGAAATGCTAGCATCTCTTTGATGGTTTCCCTTCTTCTCTCTTGTGTTTTCCCTTCTCTTAGCATGCAGTAGTCCCTTCTTTCACTTGAGTGTTTGTAAATCCTAGCTACAGTTATGTGAATGCTTGTATGGATTGAATAATGTGTGTGTGGTTATGTTTAATGTGAATGTGGAGGTATTATTCATGAATGATTGTGTTGTGTGAAAGCCTATCAATCTAATTGCCATTCTGACCTAGGTAGAGAGAAAACCCCCCTTCAATTTTTTGAAAGAGGCTTGAATGTTGGGGTTTCTTAGGCAGTTCATTGTCCCCTACTTAGGTTAATGCAGGGAAAACCTCCTATTTCATATTAGCACCTAGGGTTTGGTTGTGGGTTGCTGTCCGAACCCCAATTCGAGGGTGAAGTCTAACCAATCCTTAGTCAATAGGTCGAGAGGGTCACGTTGGTGGCTTGGATTACATCCCCTTTCCTCGAACTAGAGGCTAAGAGAGTGGTGCTTGGCTACTTGTTACATTTCCCTACGGTTTACAACCCCCTCACAACACACACCCATTCGATCCGACAAGTCGTAATTGCTAGCTAGGGGGAGCAACACCCAGGTGAAGCCTTCTCAATTAGTGTCAAATCCATTTATCTTTACAAGCACTTTAGCTTTAGATAATTGTTTTCACCGAAAACCAACTGCTAGATAATGTTACAAATAATCGAAGTAGGGGTACATGAACGGGCCCAGGTCGATATGGCGGTCTCCACCAAGACAAAAAGATCCTCATCCACTCCTTATGTCAAGGGAAATTGATGAACATGACTCCACCACAAGTGACCGAGTTGCTCAAAGACATGGCAAGTAAAGGGTAGAATTTGGGTTTGACTAGAAGTGAAAGAGAAGTACCGCAAGGGGATTGCAAAGGGTAGGAGTGAGTCCCCCACTTGAAGCCAAGACTGATCGTTTGATTGAGGCACTCTTAGTCTTAGAGGACAAGAATCATGGGAAGAGACTGGTGATGGCATGTAATTGGTGTTCAAGTACCAACCACGAGATTTCGGATTGTCAAATGATGAAGGAATCAAGCACCGCCGAGGAGCAAGTGAGTTTCATTGTCAATACTAGGGGAACAACCCCTATAGCAACACGTACAACCCGGGTTGGTGTAATCATTCGAATTTCTCTTGGTCTTCTCCGATCAATCCAAGACCTTCCGGTTTCCAAGGACCAATGGGAAATTGTCAACCAAGGCCTACATTCATTCAACAAAGGCCGCAGTTCCAAGGCTCTAGCTTCCAACAACCGTTTCAAGCTCAAGGAGGTCAAGGGTTCCAACAACCCGATAAGTTTGCAAAACTTGAAGACCTTGTGACCACCTTTGTGAGCACGAGCACTCAAAAGTTCGAGAAGATTGAGAAATTTATGGATGTGGCAACACCAAAGTTTACCTCGATTGAGGCGGGATTAAGGAGCCATCAAGCAAGCTTTCAAAACTTGGAGGTGCAAATCGGCAATCTTGCCGGGATCCTAAGGAAGTGAACGAGTGGGAAGGTTACCCCGGAGGTTGTTCCTAAGGAAGTGAACGAAGAAGAGAAGACCCCTCCATCGGCCAAGATCTCGAGGAAGTGGGAGAAACGGAATAAGATCCTAAGAAGGCATTGTCGACGCCACCACAAGTGGCTGAGTACAAGCCTCCTCTTCCTTTCCCCACAAGGATGCACAAGGACCGATTGGAGACGGAGTGTGGAGAATTCATGGAGATGCTCAAGAAACTCTGCATCACCATTCCATTCTTGGAGGCCATGGTGCATATGCCGAGGTATGCCAAATAACTCAAGGAGATTCTCACCAAGAAGCCGAAATACGAAGACCTCGTCAATGTCACCTTGGGCGAGGAGAGCTTCACCTTTATCCTCAGTAAGTTGCTTGAAAAACAACAAGATCCAGGTAGTTTCACTATCCCTCTTTGCATCAGAAATAATCATATAGAAAACTCCTTGGTGGACTTAGGAGCAAGCATTAATGTGATGTCGTACAAGCTTTTTAAGAAGTTTCATTTGGGTGAATTGAAGCCCACTAGGGTTAGTGTCACATTGGTCGATTGCTCTGTCATTAGTCCTAGGGGTATTTTGGAGGACATCCTAGTGAGAGTTGGCAATTTCTTTTATCCGACGGATTTTGTTATCCTCGATATCAGTGAAGATGTGGATATGCTATGCATACAAGGACGCCCCTTCCTTGCCACCACCAAGGCCTTAATCGATGTTAATGAGGGAACTTTTGTGTTGAGAGATGGGGAGGAGCAACTTACTCATTCAATTGATCCTAAGGTTAAGAATGATGTGGTGAAATAATTGGATTCGAGTGTTATGAATGGAAGTGGTGGTGAGCCTCTCAAGGCAAACCCGCCTAGTGTGTATGTTCCATTTGATGATGAGGTGTGAGAAATCAAGGCGGGTGCTAAGCCCGGAGGAAAGAAGAAGAGAGTGTGGAGGGATAGGCTTCATCAAGCCTCCTCCCAACCAAAAGATAAGGGTAAGGCGAAAGTACAGGGTCAAGAGGGCCACCCTAAGGAGCTAAAGGAAGGAGATGTCAAGCCTCGCCCCGATACCATGGCAGATCCACTCTCGGTGGCTTCATGCCCTTAAGCATGATAGATCTGCAAACATCGAGCTAGTGACGTTAAACTAGCACTTGTTGGGAGGCAACCCAACGACAGTTTGTTTTCTTTTCCTTATTTTTCTCTTTTTGTGTGTGTGAAGAGTTCAAGTGTTGAATTTGGGGTATCACCTTGCCAAGTCTATGTGATTTCGTGTTTTGGGATGTGGTGTGATCGGATTACGGGTACGGTTGAGTAGATTGAGTCAACAATTGTTGGGAGTGCCTTGTTTTTTAGTCAGTTCATGGTCTTAATGACCGTGAAGTGGTGCCTCCGTCCATGAACTGAGTGTGCTCCCCCTGTTTTCAAAACTCATCGTTTAACCCCAGTTCATGGTCTGGGAGTTATGTTCACGGTCTTAGTAACCGTGAACTGACACCTTCGTCCGTGAACTGAGGGTTCTGCCTATAAAAGGGGCGTGAACGACTCAGATCACTTCACGACTGCCCCTTTTCGCAGGAAAATTCAAAAACTCGCTGGAAAATGGCGATTTTTCGTCGATTTTTGTAGATCCCGGCGACCTCCGACCTCCAAACCCAAAACAAATTGCAGACCCACTCTTCTCTTGCCAGCTATTAGTGCATTTTTTTTTGGCTCCCTCGCCTTCTCCTTATTTCCCCCTCGACCCTACTTAAGTCTCCAAGTTTGTTTTCAACCTTTGCCTTACCAATTATTGGAGAATCGGATTAGGGTGTGAAGTGAGGTGAATTTTTGTGAATTGATGCTTGAATATAGAAATTAGGGCGAGGGGTTAGCCGATTAAGGTGTTTGAATGATGTTTGATGTTCCATGAACTTAATTGAGACTTGGTGGGCATAAATTTGGGTAAAATTTGTGGATGAATGTGAAAATTGCCCATCAAGTGCAAAAATGTGAATGAATGTGAATCAGTGCTTTTGATTGATGGTCCCCAAGCAAACCAAATACAAAACAAGGTAAGCTTGCAACTTCTCTTTTCAATAAAATTTATTGGGGCATGTCATAGGGCACAAAACGAATGAATCACAACAGTTATTTGACACCAACCTATGGACAAAAACAAAGTACTCTTGGCAACCACCACAAACGACATTCAACTGTATTAAGGTTGTGCAAATGAAGAGTTCTCACATTATTTATCAACCAACACATAACCTGCTTCGATGACTCACCAATCACAATCAATCATGCATGAAGATCACATCGTAGGAACGAACGATCGAGCAACCTAGGTCATCACCAGGGTATAATAAATGAGCAAACCATGATGAATGAATCACTCACTCTCGACCAGTGGGGCCAGGACCATTTGATGCAAAAGATGTGCATATTCACGCTCAATCCTAATGACCATGACAATTGCGTCCATACCGTGACTTTGGACATTTTTTCACTTTTTGGCGCTTATCGACCACCGATCGACCCGAAACTCGTCCTCGACCTTCCCACACATGCTAGGACCTGAAATATAACAAAACAAGCACAACCTAGCATAAAATAGGTCGAGGGACGGTGATCTACTAAACAAAACAGGCAAGAAATGAGGGGTAAAATGTGTGCATTTGGACCCGAATCAGTTTTCTTAGGCAATTCATTGTCCCCTACTTAGGTTAATGCAAGGCAAACCTCATATTTTGTATTAGCACCTAGGGTTTGGTAGTGGGTGGCCGCCCGAACTCCGATTCGAGGATGAAGTCTAACCAATCCTTAGTCAATAGGTCTACAGGGTCACGTTGGTGGCTTGGATCATATCCCCTTTCCACGACCTAGAGGCTAAGAGAGTGGCGCTTGGCTACTTGTTATACTTCCCTACGGTTTACAACCCCCTCACCACACACACCCATTCGATCTGACAAGTCGTAATTGCTAGCTAGGGGGAGCAACACCCAGGTGAAGCCTTCTCAATTAGTGTCAAATCGATTTATCTTTGCAAGTACTTTAGCTATAGATAGTTGTTTTCACCAAAAACCAACCGCTAGATAATGTTACAAACAATCGAAGTAGGGGTACATGAACCGGTCCGGGTCGATATTTAAACTTACTTGTCTTGTATTGCACCCGATTAAGGTTTATACTTTGGCCTTAATTGGAAGTTTTAAAGTGATGCATTAACTATCGAGTTCGAATGCTCAACACCCGACGACTGTGTAAGTGGGATGGAAGATTGGAGTTTGAAAACCTTGATAGTAAGTGAGGTTTTTGTATATTGAAAGAATTGTGAAATTGTTTGGCCAATATTATGGATAGTCATATTGATATGGAACCTAAAAGTATTGTTTAGACAAGCAAGGAGCTAAAATGTTGGCCTGAAGAGAACTTTGAAATAGAAACGCCAAAGTTCTGTTTATGGCTGGCGTGGTTTTCTTTCCAGGTTTGGGTTAAAATTTCTCTAATAGATTCCTCATAGGCTTATATGAAGACTTCATAAAATTTACTTCTTCATTGGGCTTCGTTTAATGAACTAATCATTCTTAATCTTCTAGTAACTATCCATTTTGATCTTTGATCCAATTGTTAATTCATATCATTTTAAATTACATTTGATCTTGAAAATCATAAAATAATACCAAAAAGCATAAAATGATAGTAAAACACATCTTAGATCTACTATATAATGAGCACTTCTACTATGCTATATAGCATTGGTGCTTTAATGTATAACTCAAAGTTGTGCCATAACATTAAATGTATAAGTTTAGGTTGTACTATAAAGCAATTTGTACCATTATGTTATGATACAACTTTACAACTTGAAATTGTACCATCACATAAAGGTACAAGTTCAAGTTGTACCATAAAAGAATTTGTAAAAAAGTATAGGTACAATCTGAAGTTGTACCATAACGTAAATGTACAATTTTAAGTTGTACCATAAAGGCAAAAACCTATAGCACCAATACTATATAACATTGTAAAATTTCTCCTATAAGTACATTGATCAAATAGTTATAAAATCCGGTAGGTAAATGATAAAGTCTAGAATTTCAACGTTATAAAATGACATATGATTGTGGAAAAACAAACTTTGATATTGAATGCGTGTTACTGAAGTAACCCGTGATCTGATTACTAAAATGGATGACGTAACAACCATATCTGTCCACATCAAAATTACAAATGACTTGCATTAAGGTGATAGTTTAATACACACTTGTTGGGTACACTCCGATGATCTTGTATATATAAATTACAGCTTATATACTATTTAGACAATTCCATGGTACAGCCATATTTGAACTCATTTCTTGAAGAATTCTGCGTTCGTGATTCTATCACAGGGTGCTGAGACGTGGTTGTTAATTAAACTGTGCAGGCGATGAAGGAGAAACTTCGGTGCTCTGAGATTGAGCAGCAAACTGCAAGTTCCACAGCACGTCCTCCACGGAAGGCCTATCCCCAGGGTTCTTGTTAAGGCACCTCATGCAGATCTCCATTGTCGTCTTCACCGACTGAATGGAGCTTCCCCTTTGAACAGCTCGATCAACCATGCTTCTCCTCGTCGCTGCATCTGATGCGATAGCTGCTTGCAGCTGCACAATGAGGAAGAAATGACACAAGTTGAATGTTGACTCCAAAGTTTGAACCCAGTTGGCAAATGTTGACAAGGAATGAATTTATCGATCTTACTTGGTCTTTTACAGCATCTACTTCGTTCCTAGATTCCAATGTTCTCCCCACGATGATCTCTAAGAGTATGATGCCAAAATCATAGACGTCAGCTTTCGCTTCTTGATTGGTCCTAAGAGAGATTCCACTTTCAACGAATTGGCGATTTTATGGGGACAAATCAACTGATGAATCTAAGGAAGCTACTTGGAACTTAGTGAACAAACCTTGCAGGGTTCTTGGAGCCAGCTGAAGAAGTCATGTGGCCTACCTGAGGTAGATGGAAACTTCAATCAAGTCAACTGAAAAGGCAAAGACAAAGACAAAAGACATCCGAACAGAAATTTATGAGCTTTTTACCTGTCCTGTGATCTCTGCAAGTAACGGCAGGTTATAACTGCTAATTTTTGCCACAAGGTTCTGATCCAGCTGAACATCTGTTATCTTCAGATTGTTTGCATATACACCAGGCACAATCCCTGTGTGCAGAAACTGCATCCCTTTGGCCACCCCAATTGCAGCTGCCAGCCTTTGTGTCCAGTTCAGCTTTTGCCTAGCGTGCCTCTCTGCATTAGTAGAAACGAACAAGTGTTTGTCAGTTCGAATAGAGAAGTTACGATGTGGAATTTCAATCTAGATCCATTAGGTATGACTGTACCGGAGACCCAGCTCCTTAGGTTCCCATTTGATACTTGTTCAAAGATGAGAAATATTCTGCTGACGCTCGAATCATCCAAGTAGCACTCGAAGCAGTGGCCTAGAGCACTTGTCAGATGTTTGTGCCTCAGCTTTGAGATCAGCTCTATATGGTGCATGAATGTTTGTGTGTTGTAGCTTCTTTCCATTTTCAGGCATATAATTGCTACATAAGATCCATCCTTCAGCTTACCCTTGTACATCTGATAACCATGAAGCATAGACAACAAAGTGAGTAGCTAATGGCTAATGTAAGGGAATAAGTGGGGAGCAAAGTGCTTATAATTGTATAAGATTACCTGTCCTTGAGAACTTTCACCGACGAATGCTGATGACTCGAAGTTGTTCGTAGCCTCCTCGATCTCTTCCAACGAAAAGGACCGATATGCTGGGAGGCCAAGTGCTCCTAGTCTCATTGTTTGAGATATATATCCTTCATGGTGGAACAAACATAATGGGTTACCAGATTTTCATTTCTGATCCAACAACACTTCATACTAGCTTATACAGAAAAAATCAAGCAACCAACTCCCAATTGTAAAGTTATTCAACTGCACAGTAAGGTCATTCGTTCAGTCTCAATGGATATGGTATCATCAAAAAGTAAAGTGGATGCGAACATAGAGGAGGGGAGATGAAACTGTAAAACTTTACTTGCATCTTGAAGCAACTTGGACGGGTAACCAGTTGATGCATCCTCCAAAATTAGCCTTGTCGGATATTTCTTGATTTCCTTCGAGGTGCTCGCCTTTCTAACCAACAAGAAAATCAAAGTAACCAGTGCAATGCCTCCAACAACTCCACCAATTACACCCAGGGCAATAATTGCTGCTTTAGAGCTTCTTCCTTCCCTATTCTTCATCTGTGGAATGACACCAACTGCTAAGGCTTCATTGCGACAGAATGAAACCGGTTTTTGTCTTTGATCATCTCCAGTTTCCAGGCAGTTCCCATCAGATATAACAGTTTTCTTGGAGTGGAGACACTTAGGTAGATGTCCAGTTAGAAGGTTGAATGACAAGTCAACGAACTTCAGTTCACCACTACATGATTGGTTCTCAAAGAGCATTCCAGTGAACTTGTTGCTCCCCACGTTTAAGTAAGTAACAGAAGGCAATGCCAACAAAGACGGCGGAAATGGGCCCACAAAGTTATTGTTGGAGAGATCAAGCCGTTCCAACTGATAGTAAGAGCTTATTTCAGTAGGGAGTCCATCTCTGAACTTGTTCTTGCTCAAAACCAAAGTGACCAACTTGTTCCCCAGCTGAGGAAACTCGGTCCCAAAGTCATTATCTTCTAAATCAAGCACCTGAAGGTTGGTCAACCTGCTAAAGTCCGGTACTTCACCACGAAAGTAGTTGTGTGAAAGTGAAAGAACTCTGAGATTCTCCAAATTGCTTAATGAATCAGGTAATGTCCCATTGAACATGTTCTTCCTCAAACTAAGAACAGATAATGCCGGGAGCGACCCAAGCCAATGTGGCAGCTCCCCAGCAAACATGTTATCATCGAGTGCCAGTGATTGGAGGGTAGACAGTGATGAGAGCTCTCCAGGGATGGTATCATATAGAAAATTGGAGCTTATGTTGAGAATTTCCAAAGATGACAACCGAGCGATTTTGCCAGGTAGTGAACCCCATAAACCAAGAGAAGATAGTGTGAGGACTTTCAGGGTTGGAAGACTGACCAGAGTTGTGACAAAAGATTCCATCGAGAAGTTTCTAGGGAGAAGAGATCTTCCCTTGTTTCCAATGATGTGGAGCTGGGTTATGGTGTCCTGGTAGCAGACCACAGTAACAGATGAAGTGGGATCTAGGCTGCAGAAATCAGTGGAGCTACTCCAGGTGCTTAGGACTGATGGATTGTTCAAAAGGTGTTGAATCCTTATGAGGGTTTGACCCTGGGACGACTGGAGTTGCTCTGAGTGATTAGTTGAAAGAAAGATGATCAGGGAAACTAAGACTACTACTGCAGACTTCTGGAACCCCACCATTGCCGCACAGAAGAAGAGAGTTTGCAAAGCTGTTACAGGACAAGAACAGGAAGCAGCTAGTTAACCTTACAATGAACCTTTTATGATACAAATTCAGAGAAGGAGGTTCTGCTGTGAAAGTGATCTTACCTAACTAATAATCTCTTCCTGTTATTTCACATGAAAACAGATAAATTTTGGGGTATGTGTGGAAGAAGGAAAAGCTTACCTTTTTAAGCACTTTATCCTGTTTTCAGCTAATCAGCTAAGTCGGTAGCATACAAGTACACAAATCCCACAAGTAACTGGTTAATCCTCCAGTTGGAAAGGCAACTGGGAACTGCGAAGAGGAGAAGCATTTCTGGTGAGGCTCCCAATTCTCCATGAGGAAATTCCAGAAACAGTGCGTCTGCAACCCATCTCCCTTAAAGAGACTAACAAATTTTTACAAATCAGCCACAAACCCATTTCAGAAGAAGAACCGAGGAAGAAAAACAACAAAATGACAAAGCTATTTATTCCCACAGAAACTTGCATTTCACACATTCAGAAAGACCACCCAACAATAACCAATTCTGCAAGCCATACAGGGTCAGTGATAATGAGCAGCAGAAAAGGAAAGGAAGGAAGAAAGAAAGAAAGAAAGAAAGCCCCAAACTTTAACATCGAAAGGGAAAACAGTTGAAAACAAAATCTGATCAAATCCACCCAACTTTGACAGTGAGGGTTGGGGACCGGAGAGACCCTTCTCCTAGAAAATTCTACTGTGATCAATGAGCCCACATGCGGCCTACTGAACCAAAAACTGAAGTGGACAGAATGGAGTGACAGAGAGAAACCTGCTAACCGAAACTGGCAATGCTGGCCGGCGGAATGGAAAGATTGCCTTGACAGAAAGAAGCTGATTTGGGGGTTTCAAATATTAGTTATTGATGACGACACGTTGATAGAGATATGTGTTACCAAGTGTAGAATGCCTCTTTTTCAGGGTCCAAAAGAGAATAATAATAAGGCCACCGCCATGGATAAAAAGAGAGAAAAAGAGAGATTCTTGATGTGGGTGCTGAGGCTTTTTAGTCCTTCCAGTTCAGGACATGAAAGAAATGCATGCAAAGCAGAGGAGGGAGAATTGAATTGAAGGAAACTAATAATTTATAGGATAGTGGTGGGGAATGAGATGGAGACCCGGTGGTGGGTGAGGGGAAAAGGAAGAGTAAAACAGTAAGCCTTCAGTTTCAGAGTGAGGTGAGCAGAGCTTTTTGGCCTTTTTGTTTGGTTTGCATGTTCCCTTCCCTTCCCTGTTGGCTCTTTTTCTTTGCAGAGTTCACATCCTAGTGGGTTCCTACTTCCTTATAAAGGGCCCTTCTTAGTTGGCTCTATGTGCCATATGGGCAGCTCCCTTGCTTACCCACCCTACTCTGCCAAGTTAAACTTGTTTTAGGAATGAAAAAATCTCAAAATGCACACATTATTAATAAAAAAAATTAAAATACATAAGTTATCAAAATTGTTTCCAGTCTACACATGTTTAGATTTCATCGCGGCCGTCAATCACAGTGAATAACATCATTGCGGTCGTTCAAAGCGATGAACGCTTCACCGCCACGGTCGAAAGCGTTGAATACTTTCTGGGCACTCACCGCTGGTGTCTCACGCGATGATGGTCTATCCCAAGCTCTGTTCCCAGCAACGAGCCTCTCTTCACTTTCACTCAAACCCGCCGCGCAACTCTCTGGCTGCATCTCCCTCTCCGGATGACTCCCGCAGACCAGCTTCTTATTCTTCCCCTCCGACTATGACTCCGACCCCAATGGCGGCGAAGGAGAATGGAAGAAGCAGAAGAGGTCGGAAAAGGTTTGCCACGTCACTCATCAGGAGAAGAGGGCTCTGAAGCCTTGGATTTTGCGGCGGGTTAAGGAAGGTGATGACGGTGGAAGGAGAAGCGACGGACGACGAGGATTTGTGGAAGGCAAAGCAGCGGACAACGAGAATTGGTGGAAGGCGACGATCGCCCAAAAGCTGCCGAAAGCTGACGATATTAAGACTGAAACGACATCTCAGGGTCACAACGACTTGCTTCCCTCTTCCGCAGGGGCGGATACATGCATGTCTAGGGGTGTCCCAGGACTCCCCTAAAATTTGGAAACACCCTTAAAATGTTTAAGTGGTTTGTATATGAGAAAAAAAAAAATTTAAGTGGTAGTGGGACACCCTTAAAATTTGGGAAAACAATTATCTAACCTCCCATAGTAGTTTGCGTATTAGTACAAATAATATTTGAGTAGTAGTTTATGTGTTCTAAACTTGAGTCACTGCCACTATTAGTAAACATATTTTCAATTACACTACAACTCATTTGTTATTGTGTTCTAGATCCAAATATAATAGTAAAATGTTATTCTTATCCCAAATTATTTTTAAAACCTAACGATTAAACCCAATTACTGGATACCCTTTTCTAGTAGGATATTTCGAAAGATCATTGTTGAGCAGTATAGACACCGAATGTATTTTAGTATTTTACCATTTTACGAAACATGTCTGAACTTTTAATGTAACATTTATTAGTCAGATATTTTCATATTTAATAATTATTTAATTTAATTTTAATTTTTAATTTAATTTAATTTAATTTTTGAAGAGGACACCCCTATGTAGAATTTCTGGATCCGCCACTGCTCTTCCGACTTCTCTAGCCGTTAAATACGACGGTCAGCCCCTGCTCCGCCAGCTTCTTCGCCACCGCAACCCTATCCCCTTGTTCCTAACACCTATGTCTCCCATGTTTTCTTCAAACCCTGATTTGACTTCCCACCGGAGATCGATAACAATAACAATAATGTCTTCCACGGTGCTGATAGTCGTCATGTTGGTCCTCAATCTCATCGCTTTCTTCCTCGTCGTCGCCACTGAACAGAGATGCACCACCGTAAATTCGAATCACCCAAAAATTCTCAGCTCTTGCGTCTCAGTTCAACCGGTTGTTTAACTCTGTTTTTGCTATTGGAAAACATGGGAGGGTGGAGCATGGGGAATACTTTTGGGCCAACAATTATTTGAGCCATCACTACGTGGGACACCAACGGTGAATGGCCAGGAAGTATTCACCACTTCCTACCGTGGCGGTGAAGCGTTCATCGCTTTTGACGGCCACGATGATGTTATTCACTACGGTTGACGACCACGGTGAAGGCCAAACATGTGTATATTGAAAATATTTTTTATAACGTATGTGTTTTGATAATTTTTTTTAATAACGTTTGTATTTTGATAAAAAAATTTCCTGTTTACAAGCGGCTATTTGTGAGAGATTGGATAGAGTTAAGAGGCCAACATGATCATGATGCATGAAAGGATTCGAGAGATCACTAGTCCAACTGCAACGTTGTCATCCCCCAACCTCACCCTCCTTCTTTAATCTTGACGTTACCGTTACGAGATTATTAGAGCAATGGATTGTCTATTTTTTGTGATAATTTCAACTTCGTATGTTCTTATATCATGGTTGGTCATTTAAACTGCTAGCAATACCATTGCATGGATAATAAATTTTCGACCATAGCATGACGACATGGTGGTCGTGTTGCTAAGCATAGTCAATTTTGTTGGTTAAAATGGTCGGAAATGGGGTCATTAGTATTCAACCATTAGTTAATGAACGATGAATTGGGTCAAGAAAAAAGTGATCGATGTGATGATTGGGGAAAATTGCATCTTACATATAAAACAAGAAAAAATAAGAGGCATATTATTTGCCGCCATGAACATTACTATTTGTCGCCAACTAAAAAAAAAATAATTTTTTTTATATATACTTCTTCGGTAGAGGGGTTCCACGACCTACAACAAATATCTAACTTTCAGAAAACATGTTCAATCTTAAAAAAACCGCGCTCACGTCAGAAAACTCATCAGAGAAGCCGAACCTCGACGTAAACAGCTCACATGCATCCATGAATCATCACTAAGCAAGTATTTTTAACTTCCGGATTTTCAGACAATTTTTCTGGTGAGATTCAACGGACAGACGGGAGGACCAGAAGATTCTGGCAGTCTGGACTTGGCCAGGCCGAAAGAATGCGGCGGCCGGTACCGGACCGACGGAAAATCTTCGTCTCGTCCTGGCGTCGGCTAGAATTTTTCGCCGTCCTGACCAGGTTCTGGCCACCAGATCTTTGGCTCGGTACCTGTCATTGGAATTTTTTGGCCCAGTCATTTACAGTTACCAATTTAGAGTTTAGAAGTTGAATTTAGGATTAAGGAGTTGGATTTAGGGATTAAGGTTTAGCTTTAAATTAATATTGATGTGTTATATTGTAATTGTAAGAAAAATGTCAGAATGGTTCGAGCCCGACACTGATTACACGGTTTTTTTAGAAGGACAACCCTTATGCAACTTCGGAGTTAGTTGAGGATCATGCAAAAGTAATCACTCAATCGTGTGGGTTCTTTATTAGCAGAGGAGCATGGAAACCGAATACTGAAGCAGAGTATCCTGTTACTTACCTCTATATGTATTGCGACAGAAGAAGTAGTAGGATCGAGAAGTCTTACAAACCATTCCCTATGAAGGAGAGGCGTGGGAATACTAGTTCGAAGGGTACTAATTGCGAGTTTCATATATGTATTAAAGAAGTATAGCAACAGAATGGTCCAAACACCAGGGGCCTCCGACCTACCATGCAGGTGCTCTGAGTTCATCCCAAGAAGTGCACACAAGCCCACATCCGCTCATTCACACTCTGCTCGACTCCTGCTCATCAGCCGATCCTCTACATGAATCTACAGTAGGTACTGAACGTCGTGGATGAGCATCGTTATCTCTCCAAAAGGCATGTGGAAGGTATTGGTGTATGGTTGCCACATCTCCACAAAAGTTGAAATCAGAGCCTTGTGACTCGCCACGGATACACCGCATTTTAAATCCCAACAAGAGCTCCAGCATAAACTCTAGCCGGGTGCAGTATAGGGCAAGTATGTTTTAATTGTCAAACCCAGGCCGGTCCATGTACCCCTACTTCAATCGCTTAGTTTGTTATCTAGAAAACGTTTTTGGGTTTAAAACTCATAAACCTAAAAATGAAAACAAGCGAGTAAAGTAAATCAAGGTTGTCCCAATGAGAGAAGGCTTCACCCAGGTGTTGCTCCCCCTAGCTAGCAATTACGACTTATTGGGTCGAATGGGCGTTTGTGGTGAGGGGGTTGTAAACCGTAGGGAAATGTAACAAGTAGCCAAGCGCCACTCTCTTAGTCTCTTCGAGTGAAGGGGATACGATCCAAGCCACCAACGTGACTCTCTCGACCTATTAACTAAGGATTGGTTAGACTTCACCCTCGCATCGGAGTTTGGACGGCCACCCACAACCAAACCCTAAGTGCTAATACGAAATAGGAGGTTTGCCTACATTAACATAGATAGGAGACAACGAATCGCCTAAGAAAACCCAGCATTCAAGCCTCTTCAAAGAAAGGAATGGGGTTTTCACTCCACCTAGGTTAGATTGGCAATTAGATTGATAGGCCTTCACAAAACACAATCATTCATGAATAATACCTCCACATTCACATTAAACACCACCACACACAAATCATTCAATCCATACAAACATCCACATAATTGTAGCTAGGGTTTACAAACACCCAAGTGAATAGGTAGGCTATTTCATAGCTAGGCAAAGGAGAACAAGGAACCTCCTCACTTCACGGTGTCGGGGCAATTGTCACCGTTTTTCCACTTTTCGCGTTTTTTGACCTCCAATCGACCCGAAACTCGTCCTCGACCTTCCTACACTTGTTAGGACATAAAATATGACAAAACAAGCACACTCTAGCATAAAATAGGTCAGGAGACGGTGAAATGAAAAGTCAAACTATCAAGAAATGAGAGGTAAAATGTGTGCATTTAAACTCGAATCACTCCCCCACACTTGAACATTTGCTTGTCACCAAGTAAACCAATCTTAAAAAAGGTACTATTTCAACCTCCCAACAATAACTTGGGGCCACATCAAAGGACACACAATGGATGAAACTCCATGGTTATTTTGCATCGACACATGGATAATCACAAGCAATATCGGCATCCACCACAAAGCAATACAAGTTTCTAGAAGATGACTCACCAACCACAATTACTCATGCATAGAGTTCAAGTCTAAGGAACAAACGAATGGGCAAAATAGTTCCTCCCCGGGATAGATATGAATATCTAAATCATGAATGAAAATCACTCACTCTCGACCAGTGGGTTCGGGACCATTTGGTACAAAAGACGTGCACAATCATTAACACTCAGCCTTATCGTCTCTCCACCACGCCGGCAACCTTTAAATGCTAGAGTTCACAAGTCGGATGTTACCACTAGCAAGTCCAGAGGTTTTAGACACAGGTTCAAATGACAGCAAGGGTCTTGGACATGGGGAAAAAGCCTTTTGGGTGGTCGAAAGCAAAGCATGAGGTTCTACATCTTCAACCAAAGATACTAGGTTCTACGGTTTTGACTAGAATCTTCTCCTACAAGCAACGGCCAAAAACCGTACTTCCCTTCTCCAAACCGCACCAATCACAAACTACATTCAAGCACATTTCCTTGGCCTATCTTGCTATAAAAAAATTCCAAGCATATTAGTGAAGGGTGTCAACAAGCAATTAGGTGTTTAAATGGCTTGAGTGCTAAGAAACCCTTTCTAGAGCATACACTTCAACTTTTTCTGGAGACTCTCTACCTTTTATTTACCCCGTTTATTTCATCTTTTTCCACCTCTTTTTTTTCCTTCGTTTTTTTTGGGGGGGGGGGGGGGGGGGGACTAGAGAGCTATACACTTGCCACTTCTTACATTTAACGAACAATTCTCTCTATTAAGAACTTTCCTCCAACACTACCTTTTCATTCCCAGCAAGAACCGTGCAAAATCCACCTATGTAGAACCTCAATGGAGCTCTAAGGCGAGAACTCTGAGACACAATGATGACTCACACTTTGACACGAAGAAAGGATGAGGGTTCTTTCTATCAAATACCATTAAGCTCACAAGCAACAAGCTCCTAATCACGAGAACGACCCCTAAAGTCACACGGCTAAAAGGGGTTGACTAAGGGATAAAGTGTTTCGGGAAAATCAAATTTTGGGCGTGGACTAATCCTATGCCTCCATCATACTGACTAGTGACAACGGTGAATGTTACACACCATGGCGATAGGGATCTATCACACGAGAAAAAGATGATCGGCACAAAACTCACTTGGCTACCTAATCACCCAATCATCTAATCCAATTTCACAATATTCAATGCATGGCAATTGTAATGAAGGAGTAATCAAGTCAAGACATCCATTCATTCGCACACATATGAGAACTAAATATTTGCACCAACTTAATGAAATTCTCAATCATCATAATAGGATAAACTCGATCACAAGTAAACAATCCAAGGTCAATTCCAATAAACAAGAGATCCTCCAATAACCGACCACAATGAATATGCAATGCTTGGAGCCTTAAATTTTTTAAACTTGGACATACATATAGGCTACAAGCTATTAATCACACACACAAGTTTAATAGATAGACTACGCCCCCACCCCCACCCCCACCCACCCACCCACCCACCCACACATACACTTAAGCTCGACATTGCCCTCAATGACGTAAATTAAGGGGTAGAACATTGTTACCGCATAGCTTGGCGAGTGAAAATCGGGACCGAATTGGACCAGAGATTAAAAGGAGAGAGCTTCAAGGAGACCAAAACAAAGTAAAACACACACATGCTCGCGCAAGGCGAGGTTATTTCACAATAATAGTACTTAACATAAAAATAAACACAAACCTAAGTTGGGTTGCCTCCCATCAAGCGTTATTTTTACGTCATAGGCTAGACGGTTTCTCCTTAAGCTTCGTTCCATCCGAGAACCTCCTTGAAGTTGAGGTTCTCGTCGATGAGATGAAGTCTCAAGCCACGAGCATTGGACGAATCCATGATTGAGAGCTCATGAATTTGATCCCCTTTGAGGCTCCACCCACGAGACCTCTTCTTCTTCTTTCTCTTTGTCCCATACCATGTAGTCCATCATTGATTGACTTCCATCGCATCCGCCAAGAAGGATCGCCAATGGTTTGTCCTTGGCTTGGTAAAGAGCCGCAAATGGGTCCGTCTCCAAAAGTGCATCGAGGTCGGGTGGAAAGCTTTGGTAGCTCTTGTAACTTGTGGATGCTTCATCCAAAACGACCTCGTCCTCATCTTGGACCTCACTTACTCCTTCTACTTCTTCCTCAACCTCCCTTCCTTCTTCTTCACTTTGTTCCTCCCCTTGGAAACAATCAAGATCTTCCCTTTCTTCAATTTTCACGTCCTCTTCTACAACCACTTCTCTCACCTTCCCATCCATGTCTTCAAGCACGGTTTGGAGCGCAAAATGACATTCATTCTTTTTCTCCTCTTCCCTTGTGATTGGTCTTCTAAGTTGGTCACGGAATGGGCAAAGTGTTGAGAGTCGTCAATGCAACCTTCTTGGTCATCCTTACCACGGGAGCTCCCCGAGGTGAATTCTCTTTCCCCACATGGTTGTCATTGATTGCCCCTTCAACCTCCACTTCTTCTTCCAATTTTGAGAGGCGATGGCGCGCACAAGCTCGTGCCACCTTCTCTTCTAGTGTCGAACCGGGAGGAGGGAGGGGTTGGAAATCCATGTCGGAGCTTGTTCTTCCAAAATTCTCATGGCTCGCCTCTCCGACTTCCTTTCTTCCTTCTAATGGTATGATATGATTGTGAGCAAGTTGTGCACATTCTTTCTCAACAAGCCCTCCTAGCCTCTCCATGTGTTGAAGGAGCTCCTCCGATTCCCCTAGAAAGGTTGAGTCGAAAGGGGTGGAAATTGGGAGGACCATGCTAGAGCACCCTTCATCAGTGCCTCGGGAAAGTCACTCCACCATGAGCTCTAATTCGCTCTTCGCCTCCGGTTGTGGAGTGGAACATGGTGTCAAATGCCCCATGAAAGCCTCCATGGACAACTCCAAATTGGATTTCTCCTCGGGTTGTTGAGGGAAATCTTCTTGACATGGGGAAGCTTCTTGATACCCCCATTGGTATGCTTGTTCATCTTGGAAGGGGGGTTGGTAGTAGAACCCAGATCCTTGACTTCCCCCATTTTGATCGTCCCATGAAGTTCCGCGATAACCACTCTCGGGTGGTGGTGGATACCCCCACACTTGGGTGAGATCATAAGGATCCATGATCTGATACCTACAAACACAAAAACAATAAGAAGGAAAACCAAACACACACACAAACCACCCTTCAAGAGAAAGAGTGGTAAATAAAACACACATGAAACACAAAACACAAACAAAAAGGCAAGATAGAAAATGCTAGAGTAACACTAAGCGACCTTTTCAAAATAATGGACCGTGATTCCCCGGCAACGGAGCCAAAAACTTGACTCGCCACGGATACACCGCATTTTAAATCTCGACTAGAGCTCAAGCATAAACTCTAACTGGGTGGCGGGTAGTATATGGCAAGTATATTTTAATTGTCAAACCTGGGTCAGTCAATGTACCCCTACTTCAATCGCTTAGTTTGTTATCTAGAAAACGTTTTTGGGTTTAAAACTCATAAACCTACAAATGAAAACAAGTGAGTAAAGTAAATCAAGGTTGTTCCAATGAGAGATGGCTTCACCCGGGTGTTGTTCCCCTTAGCTAGCAATTACGACTTGTTGGGTCGAATGGGCGTGGGTGGTGAGGGGGTTGTAAACCGTAGGGAAATGTAACAAGTAGCCAAGCGCCACTCTCTTAGTCTCTAGGTCGAGGGAAGGGGATACGATCCAAGCCACCAACGTGACTCTCTCGATCTATTGACTATGGATTGGTTAGACTTCACCCTCGAATCGGAGTTCGGACGGCCACCCACAACCAAACCCTAGGTGCTAATACGAAATAGGAGGTTTGCTTACACTAACCTAGATAAGAGACAACAAATCGCATAAGAAAACCCAGCATTCAAGCCTCTTCAGAGAAAGGAAGGGGATTTTCACTCCACCTAGGTTAGAATGGAAATTAGATTGATAGGCCTTCAAACAACACAATCATTCATGAATAATACCTCCACATTCACATTAAACACCACCACACACAAATCATTCAATCCATACAAACATTCACATAATTGTAGCTAGGGTTTACAAACACCCAAGTGAATAGGTAGGCTATTCCATAGCTAGGCAAAGGAGAACAAGGAAAATTAGAGAAAGAACCATGAAAAGATAAAAATACTTCCTCCTTGTTGCTTGAATCTCCCTTTTAGAAGAAGAAACCTTCACTCCTCTAGTTTGAAATGAGCCCAATCTCCCTCTTCATCCTTTGAATGTCACTTTCTCTCTCTAGAATGGGAAGAGGAAACCCTAATCTCTCAATAGAAACCCCCCTTTATTAAGAAACTAAAACCCTAGAAAAAAGCTCTCCTTATCCTTCAGCTCACTTCCCCTTTTATACCCAGATCGGGCTAAGATCACAGTCCCAGTTCACGGCCGTGAACTCAAGGCGGGGAGCATTATTTCGGGCCGAAACATGCCGCTTCACTAACTCAGTTCATGGTCATTGGCTTGAGTTCACGGTCTTACGACCGTGAACTGGCTTGAGTCTAGTGAAACCGAAAACTGTGCTGGAACCTCCGCACTTCACGATCTCGAGGCAATTCACTGTTTTTTTTCACTTTTTCGTGATTTTCAACCTCCAATCGACCCGAAACTCGTCCTCGACCGTCCCACACGTGCTAGGACCTGAAATATGACAAAACAAGCACACCCTAGCGTAAAATAGGTCGAGTGACGATGAAATGCAAATTCAAACTATCAAGAAATGAGAGGTTAAATGTGTGCATTTAGACTGGAATCACTTTGTCAATCAATATCTTGCGGAACATATAATACATCAAGTGTTGGAGATCTGCATACTGAACCAGCTCCTCCGCCTCACCATCTCTAAACACATACTATTGTAGATAGTCAACCGCGCATGTACGGTTGTAGCAAATGATGACCCCTCTGTCTCCAATCCTCATCCAAAGCGCATATGTGACATGGCCATGGAAGCTCCTAACAAAGTTAGGATCACTCGACTCATGACCTCTCCTACTTCGTCCAGTCTCGGAGCTCTCTATCTCCTCCCAAGCAGGTTCTACGAACCGCCCACCTTAGTCCCTTTAAATAGGCGGATGTGATGAAGCCGTGTAGGACGACCCTCCTCCACGTCCACGCCTGGCTGGATGGGCCTGGGGATCCTCATTAGACTCGAGCTCTAAGGAATGATCATCAATATTTACTTATCTACAAAATTACACAATAGCATATTTAGATGCGCACTAAATTCTCGATTATCTATATTTTTTAAACAATTCAAATTATTCACGAAAACACTCTCAATAATTATGCATTAATTAATTTAATTAACTACTCAATAAATACGTTCAAATTATATTATTAACTAGTTTAACCAAATAATAACACCAACCATTAAATAAATCACTAACTAATTAATTATTCATTAAAAATTTTAATTAATAACTGGTCATTAAAATATTAAAGAATTATTCATTAACTAATTCGACAAAATTATTGTGTAACACTACTCTTTAAATCAAGCAAATAATTACTAATTCAATAATTTAATTCAACAACTAACTGCTCATAAAACACTAACGAATTTCATTAAAAAAAACACTAACAAATTAAAAATTAACAATATAATTAAATATATAATATTTAAAATGCGCCAAAAAATCCCTTGGCCTACATGCGGCCTGGCATAAAAGAACCGTCGGCTGACCCGTCGTCGCCCGTCGGGCTGAAAGACTGCACATAAAAACCCCATAGGAGTGGCGGATCCAAGATTATTGAAGAGAGGTGTCGTCGATAAAAAATTATAATAAATAAAATAATTAAACAAAAATTTAAAAGAAATTACTAGAAATTCATTTATAAATTCACAACGTCATGTTTACTAAGAATTATGACAATTTTTCATATCCTGAATTTTGTTTAAAATACATTCATCATTTATGTTGCAAATCAAACCTTTTTCGATATATACAACTACATAATCATTCATAAATTAGTCATTCAACCAAAGAGAATCGACCTGTGTCTAAAATCAAAGTTATAATAAATTAGTTTACAATCAAATATAGTAAACTACAATCTTCCAATCGGCAATTTTAGACAAAACAAAGTATGCCTAAAGTAATAGCATTAGTATTGTTTCTCTAATTCTACCAAATTAACCAAAATCAAACCACAATCTCCCATAAATATATGCAATTCATCTATTAACTACAAATCGACAAGTTAAATTGCGTTGTGGGTTACTTAAAACTAGCATGCTTATTTGATTTTACTAATTATTGTTTTTTTTTGTCATAGATAGTTCGTAATAGATAGAAAGTTACAATGCGCGGGAAAATAAATAGCGGTAGTCAACCAAATGGGTCGGTACCGATGCAAGGGCCTTTTGTGCCACACAATGGGCAGCCCTGTTAGTACTACAGGGAGCATAGACAAACGAAACAAATGTAAACGAGGTCTTTAGCAACCGCACTTCCTCTAGCACCGCTCCTCCTCGATCATGATTTGCATCATTCTCCAAAGCTCGGTGTATGACCAGTTGCGAGTCACCACAAAAAAAAACAGCAGAGTAGGCATTGCGTAAGCTCCAATTCATTGCATCTCTCAAAGCTAGGAGTTCCAGGAGGAAAGGATCATAAATACCATCATAGAACTTACCGAAAGCATACTCAATAGCTCGTTCTTGTGAAAGGCCAACAAATCCAATGCTGCCCCCTACACCCCGCCTTGTTGCACCATCAAAACGGATTAAGAGTCCCCCAGGTGGACAGCTTGGGAAAGGTGGCGGAGCCTCGGTTGTCGCGGAATAGGGGAGCGGCTCTGCGGCGTCTCAGTAGCCTCGCGCCTCTCTTCCACCTGCCGTGTGTACTGCCGAAATAATGGCCCATGAAGGTACTGAATTCCATCATAAGCCGACCAGCAACGGCCTTTCCAAATCCTCCAGGAGATAAATACTGCCTCTGCAATAGCCACTTCAGACAGCTGCAAGTTAAAGAATATAGCATGCCAAGCAACATCAACACTCATATTTTCAACTACTGTACTAATAGTATCCTTCCCTGCAAGAGACCAAACTTCACGGGCAACCCTGCAAGAAAACAGACAATGAGAGACAGTTTCAACATGATCAGAACATACTGGACACACATTCGAATCACATAAAGACTTCGCATGGAGGACAACTTTCAAGGGTAAAAAATCCCCTCACTACCCGCCATAGGAAGACTCGAAGTTTTGGAGGGATGGGGAGACTCCATAGGACTTTCCAAAATTTAGAATCCAGATGGTGAGGGAGCTGGTCGAATTCAAGGTGTCGTGCTGAAGATAGAAGCTGGTATCCTGTCTTAACCGTATACTGACCCGACGGCGAGTAATGCCAAATCAGCCTATCCGGTTGCGGAGACGAGGGTAGGGGGATAGACAGAATCAGACTCACACTAGCCGGGGTGAAGCATGCGTGAACCAAATCTCCATTCCATGTCCTTGTAATCGGGTGAATGAGTGACGCGACGAAAGGATTCCTGAGAGACACACCTGGTAGCAGCGTGGGCGAGGACGGAGGCGAGGACGGCAGCCAAACATCATCAAGGATACGGAGTGCATTACCACACCCCACCTGCCAACGCAATCCCTTTACCAATAAATTACGCCCTTCGAGTACCCCTTGCCAAGCCCATGAAGGCCGAGAACCGATTGGAGCATCCAGAAAGTGACATTAGGGGTGATACCGTGCCTTATACAGCATGGCAAGTAGTGAATCCGGGGCCTCCAAAATCTTCCAGGCTTGTTTAGCCAGAATTGCAACATTGAAAAGATCGAAGTCGCGAAACCCAAGTCCCCCATGAAATTTGCTGATACAGATCGCGGACCAAGATATCCAATGCATTCCCCAAACCTTATCCTGACCTGCCCACCAGAACCGTGCCAGTTGGGAAAGAAGGGCATTATGCAGCAGAGTGGAAAATGCCTCGGTATAAATCGCAAACAGCAGCGGAGACAAAGGGTCGCCTTGCCGGATACCTCGATGCGGATGGAAATACCCATGCTCATTGCCATTCAAAAGAACAGTAAAGGATACTGATGTAACACAGGTTTTGATCCACTTCATCCATTGCTCATCAAAGCCGATTGCTTCCATCACTGCAAATAAAAAGCCCCATTCCACCCGGTCGTACGCTTTTTCCATATCTAATTTGAGCGCCATCCACTTATCTCTGCCATTAGTTTTCGTCTTTAAGAACTAAATAACTTCCTGAGCTATAAGAATGTTGTCGGATATGTCTCTGCCCTTGATAAATCCGTTCTGAGAATCAGAGATTACTGCAGGAAGAATAGCACTCAGCCTCGTGGTAAGAATCTTGGAGATTATCTTGTAGAATACCTGGCACAGACTAATCGGCCTCATTTGCCTCATCGATTCTGCATTCGGACATTTAGGAATGAGGGTAATGATTGTGTGGTTAAAGCTCCTCAGTAGCCTGCCAGTCCTGAAAAAAGATAAAGCTGCCTTACAAACAACATCCCCAATGATATCCCAATAAGTTTGAAAGAAAGCCCCAGTTAGACCATCCGATCCCGGGGCCTGCCCGGGCCCTATGCTGAATGCTGCCTTTCGGATCTCCTCTCTCGAAACCGCGGCTGTCAGAAAAAAGTTCATGGATGCTGTGATTTTGTGCGGCAGACCTAAAGCATTCACAAGGAAATGGTGAGAATTTCCATTAGACAGAAAGAGAGACTGAAAGTAACCAACTGATATACTTCCCTTCCCGGATTCATTATAGTGTAACACCCCAGCATCATCTCTAAGTGCTTCAATGGTATTTTGCCTTCTACGTTGGGTAGTGGTAGTGTGGAAATACTTTGTATTTGCATCACCTTTGTGGAGCCAAGTCACTCTAGACTTTTGAGTCCAGTACGCTTCCTCCTGTAAGTAAGCTGCGGACAGCTGACTCTCCAAGCCTTTAATGAGCTCCCAGTCGAGTAGAGACTTCTCCCTTTCCAGCTCAATGGCTTCCCGCAACTCACGGATCATTCGGGCAGCATTAGTAGTACCAAGTCTCGCCCACTGTACGAACTTGTGGCGCACAGCTTTGAAGAGAGAAAACAGCTGGAATTGGAGGGTGTCGGGAACTGTTGCTATCCATTCTTGCGCTACGATCCCGCGGGCATCTTCATTGGTGCTCCATCGCATGTCGAAATGGAACCGAGGTTTCCCTTTCCCAGCACCTGGTACAAATTGCAGCAGTAGCATCCGGTGATCCGATCCAAGATCTGAAAGGTGGGAAATCTGCATATTAGGCCAAAGTGAGAGGATATTGTCAGTGACTAACCCTCTATCTAGACGCTCTAGAATATGGGTGTGTAAATCTTGCCGATTCGACCAGGTAAATGGAGGCCCTTTAAACCCCAAGTCCAGCAGCCCTGCAACATCAATAAACTCACGAAAAGACTCCATTACTTGGAAAGAGGGGGGTCTGCCGCCCTGCTTTTCCGATGCTTGAGTTATGCAATTAAAGTCTCCAATCACCAACTTTGGTAAACCACGAGACGAAAGCAACTCTAAGAGTTCATTAAACTGAACGGAACGAATATGTACATCACAGCTAAGATGGACGAAGAACACAGCCAAAGAACCCCAAACTACATGACTACATTCGACAAATAAGAAGAAGTCAGATTCTCCTGCGACTCGACAATGAACATTCGGCGCACTTGCAACCACTAAACCACCAGCTCTACCAACAGGGGAAACACAATGCACAAAAGGAAATCCTAAACGCATAAACTTCTTTTGGACGAACTCATCATCCCGCTTGGTCTCGCTGAGAAAGACTAGCGGCGGTGAAAAGCGGCAGATGGCTCCGAATAGGGAAGGAACCGTCAGAGGAGAGCCAAGGCCCCGACAGTTCCAAGCCAAGATGCTCATTTGGGCGGGTGGGACCAGTTCGGGCTGGTTTCCTCCACCGCAGCAGCAGAATCGTTGATGGCGGGCAACGCCGTAGTGTCCGGTCTCCCTTTCTTAGCCATAGCCCCATCCCCCAAAGGACCAGAGTCCAACTCCCTGTCCCTGATCAGCTTGCCCGGAGCCTCACCCTGCTGGGGATGGCTGTGACTTGGGGATGAGGATGCTGATTCGTTACGCACCCAGGTGAACTGTCTGCGAGTCAACATGGAGAGCTCATTGACCTTCGGCCCAGACTTCTTCGAGACAAGCTCTTTGTTGTATGGGGTGACAGTTCCAGCCAGCTCGGTGCGGCGAGGGCAATGGTGGCCAATGTGACCGAGAATGCCACAGAGATAGCAGAACTGAGATAGCCGCTTGTATTTGATCAGCGCGGTGAACCCGCCCTTGCCAACCTTCTCATGTGAAGCTGGGACAGATACTGGGAGAGGGAGGCGTCCGTCGATCCAGACTTTGGCATGGAGGAAGATCTCTCCAGTGGCAGTTACCCTGTGCACGGTTGCTGGGTCGCTCTTCCCCAATGCCGAGCCCAGGAGAGTGCCCATCTTCGAAGTGCAAAACGGTGGCGGAACATCCCAAAATTGGAGCTGCAAAGGGATCCGCCATAACTGGTCCGCAATCTCAGGTGAAACCTCCACCCAAGGGGCCAGATGAACGAGGAATTTGGGCAAGAACCATGGCGTCTCACCCAGAACCCGGTTCATATCTTCCTCCGTGGGAAAAAAGAACTGCAGCAGCCCTTCAGGTGCTGGGAGGATAGAGATTGCTCCCCGACAGTTCCAGAGCCGACCCATGGTGGATTGGAGATGACGAATCGAAGGCGTAGAGCCAACTACTCTCCCCAGCAGCGAAAGGTCACTACGCTGCACTCCAGCCACGATATCAGCATCCCCGAAAACCACCGCATTCACCACTTCCATATTGGTCGAACGAGAATAGGGCAACAGGATGTTTAGCAAAAATCGACAGTTTAGACAAGGAGAAAGTCGAATCGGCGAATGAAATCGCACAGCCCAGATCATTGGCTTTATAACCCCCATCAAACCACTGGCCGTTTCCGGCGGGGCACGATGGCGGAGTGGCCGTTGCCGGCAAGTCGCACGACGACGAGTTCTTCCCTCCCACTCTCCACGCCAGAGAGAGAACTTTTTTTTTCCTCAATGCCAATTTTACTAATTATTGTTAATTACTAATTATGATGAATAACTTTATAACATTAGAACTATTGTCGTATAACGAAGGTGTGTCGCTTTTAATTATTAGAGCGGTGTCGGAAATCCCAAATTAAAATTTTTTGTACGAAAAAATGGAGGTCCTTCACAAAATTTTCGAACGAAGGGGTGTCGGACGACTCCCCTTCCCTTGCCCTAGGTCCGCCCTGGCCCATAGGGACATCACCATATCTCATAGTGTACGGAAAAGCTTGTCATGTGTCCGTGAAGTTGTAGCATAGGCCTTATTGGGCTGGCTACCAAGGAGCTGAATCTTGACATATCTCTAGGAGGAGAAGAAAGAAAATACCAACTACATGAACTCGAGGAATTCAGGCTTCATGCATATGAAAATTCAAAAATATAAAAAAGGTCAAAATATTCCATGACGTAAAAAATGCTTAGAAATGATTTACATGATGGAGATCAAATATTGTTGTACAATTCAAGATTGAGATAACACTGAGGAAAGATCAAATCTTGATGGACATGATCATACACTAATCACCAAGTCAATCAATATGGAGCCGTGGATCTTTATGACCATCAAGGCAACATCTTCCGCATAAATGGTCAACATTTTAAGCCCTACTACCACCAACAACCAATCACCTTCGCGGAGGATCTTTCCTTTGTCAAACCCAACTAAAATAAGGGAGTATGTCTATCTCGAAGGTGTAAAAGAAATAGCATTATTGAGAGGCAGCCCAAGAATTTTCTTTGCATTGAATTAATTTATTTCTCTATTTTTATTTCTTTTCGACAAAATCTAATCTCAAAAATTGATTTTCCTGTGTTCCTAGGCCTAATATGAAGGTACAACACAAAGACCAAAGAACAAAAAGGAAGTTGGACCAATGACGACCCTACCCGCCGCTCGAATTCCTCATCACAACACACACCTTTTACATGTCCAACTAGGCCATGGTATCTAATGTGCGTCAACCCGAAGGCTTGCACCAAACGACGTTGACACTTCTTTCCTTCACATACTATGACTCAAAGAGTACGATTCCCGCAAGAAAAACAGCGACAGTTCCACCCATTGCTAGAATACCGCTCCTTATAAATAGAGGAAACTCCCCCTCTTTAATTCTTCACACCACCACACAAAGCTCCAAGCAATATATGAGCTAAGAAGATCAAGACCCATTCATAGATGATGGTGAAGGCCAAAGAAGGATTTGTCAAGCAATGACTGAAGAGGAGAGAACCCACGCCATAAGTGAGGAAGGAAAGGAACAAGAAGGGTGACACGCCCCTTGAAGATAACATCATTGGTATGGAGAGAAGAGAACATGGAAGATGTCCCATTAGCAAAGAGGCTCGAAGCTATGAAGTATCCATCCAAGAGCGGTACGATGGCCTACTAGAAGCTATTCTTGATCGTGATGCCTTCCCAAAGATGCACCACTCCTGCTCTTCAAGAGGTGTGATGATGCTTTGCCACGAGTCACTATCTTTTAGTCTATTGAGGATAATGTACATTTTAAAGTGTGGTGTGGGAATGTGTTGTGATGTTTTGCCTTGATATGCTTGACAATTGCTATATGACTAGTCGTTCAAATTTGAAGATTTTCAATGCTAAATACTTATGATATGTACTTAAACGTGTTTGAAATTTCTAAAGATGTTTTCCATCTAATGAATTTTAGTCATCCCTACTAGCCGATCACTTCTCTTCTTACTTTGTATCAATGAGGCTAGTAGTCATCACTTTATCTAGAGAGTATAGTGTAGTGACTATGAAACATGTGATAGTCAATGGGATATAATGACCATTTGATATGTTTGGATGTCATGTTGTTTGATCTATTCCAAGATTTATGATTATGCTAAAAGAGTCTCCCATTTTTAAAGTTTTCAATGGGCGGACTATATCTTATAGAAAAATGGTATAATGGTAATGTAGTGACATTAATATTGGTGTAGTGGTATTGTTATCGCCTTATTGGTTTTGTGGTGCTTATATCGATATAGTGGTAATAGTGGTATAATAGTATTATCAGTGTAGTGTTACTCTTATTGGTATACTGGTAATGTAGTGAGTGGTAAGTGTTATTGGTGTAGTGGTACTAATATTGTAGGTTGGTGTGTAACATGATATAGTGGTACTCTTTATAGTGTAGTTGGATATATTTTTATTAATGTATTGGTACTGATTTCCTTGCAGTAAGACTATTTTTATAGGTGGCCAGAGGGTGTTTGCCAGATAGATTTGACTGGATAAAGTCTCTCGGTCGGAAAAAGTGTATTGGTAATTCTTGCATCCTGCCATTGTTTTTTACCAAGACTTTGACACGGATCTAGAGAGAGAAAACATTTTTACCAATCCCCTATTTTTCATAATCGGATCCTATAATATTCTCTTTAACTCATAATTTAAAAAAAATTGTATAAAAATAATGCATTAATTATGACAGACAATGATATCCATTTTGCTATATTTTGACCAAACAAAAAATTAAATCTTCAAAACATGTCCATTGTGGTATTATCATTGTCATATCTATCATATCGTCCTTATATGACACTGGTATGATGACTCATCTCCTTCACTTTAACTAAAAATTAAAAAATACATGTATAGAAATAATATATTAATTAAGATCTACACAAGGATATTCATTTTGTTATGATTTATCAAATATAAGACATCATACCAACATTATAAAATATTGTCACTAGTAATATTATCATGTACTCACTCATATGTGTTTTGCCAACGATCTGCTGATCTTTACAGATGGAAGTAATATGGGGATTAGGCACGTTAAGGATGTTTTGCACAGGGTCAGTGTTCTCTCTGGTATGAGATCAAATCGTGCAAAGTGTGAAATTTTTTGTGGTGGTTACCTAGTGATTGGGTTAGTAATTTGGTGGAGAACTCTGGTTACAGGTTGGGGAGGCTCCCCATTCGTTATTTGGGTTAGGAGCGGGCAAACGGTTCGGTAAACCCGAACCGAACTGAAACCAAAAGAATGTTATTTGGTTCGGAATTCGGAAGGAAAATATAGATATTTCGGAAACTAGGGTTCATTCAACCGAACCGAAATTCCGACCGAAAAACCGAAATACTACAATTGCAACCTCCAAATGGTGGATTTTTATATTTGTAGTTGTTTTTATACTTAAATATTTGAAATATTTTATGACTTATGTGTTGAAAAGTTTGATTTTATCATTGATTATGTATATAATTGCATATTTATTGTTTATATTAGGAGTAAAAAATAATTTAAAAGTGAGAATATACAAGTAGCCTCACAAATTCGGTTTTGTGTTAAAAACCGAACCGAATTATAATTCGGTTTAAACCGACCGAAACAAATTATAATTCGGTTTGAATTCGGTTTGAGGTTTGGGAGAATTCGGGGACCCGATATTCATAATTTCGGTTCGGTCAAAACCGAATCGACCGAATGCCCACCCAAATTTGGGTGTACCTCTTATTAGTGGTGAAGTTTGTGTTGCTGCTTGTAAGCCATTAATTGACAAGATTACAAGGAAAATTCAGAGATGGCAGGCAAAGAGTCTCCACTATGCTGGGAGGCTTGTGTTAATTCAAGCGGTATTATATAGTCTCTCACTATTGGATGTCAGGTTTTTATTCTCCCTAGTACCGTGACCAAAGTTATAGAGAAGCTCTGTAGTGATTTTTTTGGGGAGAGCTTAAAAGCAATAGTTGCCTGGGATAAATTGACATATCCAAAGAATGAAGGGGGATTGGGGTTGTATATGAAATCTTGGAATTTAGCAAGTGTAATCCATCACCTTTGGGAAATATTGACGAGTCTAGTAGAATTTTTCCTTAACTTGAGCTCAGCTCATTTATAAATTTTTCAGCACGAGCTACACTCGACTCGAGCTCGACTTGGTAGAACTCGGTAAATACTCATTAACATAGCTTCAGTTGTGTACAAGCTCATCTCAAGACGAGCTCGATTTAAAATCATTCTTGCTTAAAAATGTGTACACATAAGGGTTTAAATGAAAAAAGAACACTAGAAACTAAATAACAGCTAACATTAATACCCATCTGTATTACGATAATGTATATTCAAGAGAGTAATTGATCATTCCACAAGCTCTAAACAAGTCAGTTCACGAGCTTAGCTCAACAAGCTACCGAGTCAAGCTAGCTCACGAGCTTATCAAACTGAGAATGATCTAGCTCAACCTTGGCTCATTTACTAACGAGTCAGCTCGCGAGACAGCTTGTTAATTAACGATTCGAGTATCGAACGAGTTTTTTTCGATTCGACCGCTGAGTTGCTCGCAAACGGCTTGACTCATTTGCAGCCTTAATAGTAGTGATGGCAATGGAGCGGGGCTGGGCGGGTACCTCAATTCCCATGCCCCGCCCCACGCTATTACGGGGCGGGTAAAACCCGCGCGGGTACGGGGCGGGTCGATCGACTCTTACATGTTATTCAAAAAAATACAAATAAATTACTTTTTACGATAAAACGAAGGGAAAAACACTTTAAGAATGAAAAATAGTAATAATAGAATGAGTAATTGAGTCTAACAAGTTGAAAGAGCGACTCTAACTAATTGAAGAAAAGTCAAAATAGGAGAATATGTATAAAAATTGTAAGAAATTGAGATAAAATGAGTCTAGAATGGGGCGGGGCAAGGCAGGGCGGGTCGAAAGTAGATACCCATGTCCCGCCTCACGCTATTGCGGGTCAGATAATACCTATCCCATCACGGGTCAAGTCGAGTAATACCCGCGGGGCGAGTTGAAATTGCCATCACTACTTAATAGACAGATAACTGGGGGCTTCTCTTGCAGATACCATCCTCAAATTCTATGGGGAAAAGTCACAAACAGATGCCTCAAGTCGTGGTCGGATTCACACTACAGGCCGTGAATGACTCATGTCATGCCTTTCTTTCTCTAGGACCAGCCCCCAAAACCAACTTCCCAAACTGTACACCCAAACAAGAAGAAGAAAAAAAGGAGCAACTCTTTTTCTTTTTGCTATTTCTATTTTGACCCTCTCTCTAACTAGCTTGCAAAAGGTACATGCAGGAGAAACAGAAGAATGGAGACCCCCGACATGACCAAAGAAAAGAAGAACGTTTTCATCATTTCAGGCTATTCAATCAGCAGAAACAGGTTCCATTCTCAACAACCTGCGGACCTAAATACTCAATTCCATCCATTTGTGAATCCTCAGGCATTTCAACCTCTTCCAACCATCCATACCCTCTGCCTTCCTCTTCTGTCATCAACATTCCCTCTTCCCCTTCCCAATTCCCTGCACACCATTTAAAAACCTTTCCTTTACTCAAGTTTCTCAACCAAATGCTTGAATGATAACTATTTTCACAAAGGCAAGCAGAATTCTGAACCTTTCTTAGCCTCACTTACTGGAGAAGTCTTGGTAAGGGAAATCCCGGTAGTAAGAGCAGTCCCGGCCATCTTCCATGGAATAGGGAGGACCGAGCACGTCAAGCATCGCACAAGGAGTAACTGCTACAAACTGATGAATGTTGCCTCCTGTGGTTGGATACAGTACCGACGTATCACATGGAGCTTGGTAGACCTTATCTGCTACCAAACTCGCCAGCCTCACTGCCCCAACAAAGCCATAGCACAAAGGTGAGTTGCTCAATTTCAATCACCATGATGTTTCCAGCATTCATCAATTTAAACCAAAAGTAAAAAACACATACTCACGTTTTGAACTCGAAGCCGGCTGGCAGCCAACTAAGTCGTAAGATTTGATGTGGACTTCTCCTAGCAAGAGTTTGCTGAAGACTGTCATTCCTGGATGGTTGTGGAGTGGGATGACACTACCAGCAGGGAGAAAGAAAATGCACAACTGCATCCAAACGTATATCAATAAGTCCAAGGCAAAACAACAAAAAAAATGATACGAGTAGCGAATGGATGAGCAGTAATAAGGTACAGCAAACTCACAGAGAAGTTGGTGCATTTGTAAATGGTGGTGTATTTGACTCTAGGACGATTCACAGTGCCTTGGACGACTAGAGCATTATTATTATTAGGGTTAAAGAACTGCAACTTGCTGCTTAGGCCAACATCCTCTGGCTGCATATTGTCTGTCAAACATCACAAAGAGAATAAAACCAAGAAGATATGTTTATTTAGTGGGTCAATCAGAAGATAACTGAATTATGAGTATCATGATGAAAGTAGTTTAATACCAGAAATGCCATTACAAGTACAAAGTAGCGCATAGTTTATTAGCCATACTGCTCACTTTGGAAAGATTCTTAGGAGGATCAAAAGGACAAAGAGAGGGGATTCATTATTTCCCATCCTCCTCATGACTGACTTAGTTTATACAGTTTGTCACCATCATAACTAGCTTTTTAAATGATTAGCTATAGCAGTTTAAGGCAAGAATCTGCCCTAACTAACTCTGCTTACGATCAAAACCACACTGTTATATGCTCGTAAAGATACTTATTCTCCTTTTTCATTCTGCTATGCACACATATTAAACTTATTATCAAATGAAGTAATAGTCTTTGAAGGAGGCCCCCACATCAACATATTAGAGGAAGAAATTAAACCCTAACACAAGGAGAAAAAAATGAGGGCTATGAACATATTAGTATATGTAAGTTAACAAAGCAATAGTCCAAAGTGATGTATTGTGTTGCGCCATATAAAGACACTCCTACTCCTAGTCCCACAAAAATCTTCAACAAATTTTCCTAGTTTCTGCATGCAAAATCATTTCTTTATAGTATTGTGGTAAGTTTAGGGGGAAAGACTCCTAGACTTTTGACTTTGGCTTACTGCTAAACAATATCCTTCCCCTAAGTTGCTGTTCAAAGGAAAGGGAACCTTCGATTTAAATTCCCTATTACAAGGTACACAAGGGACCTAGATCAGATATTGTACAAATTGAGCAGAGATCAGTGGCCTAATCCCATGAATTATGCAACCTTATGGGAGATCTTCAAAATATAGAGAAGTACAATGACAAAATCATTATAAAAACGTGCCATACCAACTTGATCACGGGTACAGTCAATCGGTACGATACAGCACAAGTATTCCTATTCACTACACACCAAGTGAGAATGAATGAATAACAACCTACCTCACCCCACGCAAAAAAGGTAAAAAAAGACAAGCTTTCCCATCTAGAGCCTTGGATAGGGGGAAAAGTTTCACAACAGCGACTTATACCAATTTTGGATTCTGACCCAATAATGGATCATAGTTCATAAGCAAAATCAGGAAAAGAAACGATTCTCAATTTCTTAGATCAACATACATCAGCATATGTCACCTCATCACCGGTTCAGAATAAAATCAAGCTCCCAACATCAGCATCTGGTTCACTAACCTACATTGTTAATGCAATCAAGAGATCATGGATTCCCCAAATCTAACAAATCATATCGCTTATCACTGGTGAAACCCCCATCCATGCAAACAGTTTAAGGCGACTATTACTATGGCTGTTAAAGTTGACCACGAATGAACGAGAGAATTCGTGAGAAGCTTACCAAGTATGTGGCACAGTCTATCCACATCAGGTGGCAGAGGAATCGTGCCAGGACCTTTGAACACGTCTTTACAAGACTGGAAGAGATTCTGGAGCGTCACTGATTTTGAAGAGCCGTGAGGTGGCGATGATGACCTCTTAACCTTCTTCTTACAACCTCTCCTTCTCTCCACAACTCTCTGCCCCGCATATCCAACCCTCTTCACTTGCCTAGCTATGGGGTCGCTCCTCGCCTCTGCTACAGCTTCAATCGTCATTACAGTTGCTACTTGCTAGCTAAAACGGGGGGGAAAAACGGGAGCTTTCTCCTTCTCCGACAACAAACCCAAATCTCAGAAGTAAAGGGTTGATTGGGAACGCGAAACCCAGAAGGAGGGGGGATTAAAGACTGCAACTTTGGAGTGGGTCAAGCTAGTGGGGAATGGAATTCTGGTTAGAGATAGAAGAAACTGGGGATTTTGGCTCTGGAATCGAGAAAAGGGGGTGGTAGGAGGATTGGAAAAATGGATATAACCAAGTTGGAAATGGCGGTGGAAGAAGAATATAAAGGAAGAAGGTAAGGGGGAAACGGCAGGTGATGGAGAACATGGTAATGGGGGGAGGACTGTATGGAAGGAATGGCAAAACCAGGGGCCAAAGCCAATCCGTATGGAACCAGGGAAACTTTTCTTCTTTGTTTTTCTTTTTAGTTTATAGTTTTCCTCTTTTGCTCTGTCGTCATGGGAACAGAGAGTAAACCACCCAAAATATCCAATCCAACCGACGGGCTTCTGTCAGCTGTCCATCTATCTTTTTCTCTCAATTTTTTTATTTGAAGATCATTTTCAATGATGTTGTCCAAGACTCTGGCGCTCGTCTGGTCTTGTTGTTCGGGCTCGGACGGACATTTGTTTCTAGTCTTAGGTATCCAGTATTAGTGGATCTATGACTCGTATTTTGGAGAACTCCTTGCCGCCAGGGATGCGGTCTCTCGTACATCTTCTAGAAGTTTGACTCGTTTCTTCCTCGAGCCGATGCAGAAGTTGTCATCCTTCGAGGTTGTCGTTTGTTTCTTGAGTCTGTTTCTCATTGTATAGATTTTAGTGCGATTTCGCGGACTGCCACCTAGGCTGCTCATAGAGTGGCACGTAAAGCCATGTTGTTGTCTCGGTTAGAGTTAGCTTCTTTTGATTTTGTAAGGTAATTTGTTAGCGGGATAGGAAGGGATTGTGGGTAGTGGTTCTTTCTAACTATTGTCTTGACATTACTCGGGAAAAAATATTTTTTTTTTTTTGCTTCATTATTTTATTTTGATAGAGTGCCTTGTTCCTAAATTTTGTTTCCTTCGTTGGATGTTAAATTGCAAGGTTATTAAACCGGTTTAAGTGTTTAGATCAAATAAGTGGTTTGAGGTTCAATTATTTTATCCAATTTTATCTGTTTGAGTCTTTTTATATTATATATATATATATATATGGTGGCGTATTCGGTGCACCTACTTTTTTGGGTGCACTAAACGCACTCACTTTCCTGTTTAATCTTAACCATTGATTACATCTAATGGTTACGATAATTTGATTTATTTATAATTCATTATTAACTAATAAAATATATTATATACATTAAAGTAGTTTAAACTTATTAATAATTGCAATTAGACCCCAAATCCTCTTCTTTCGCGATTGTTTTCCCCTCTTCCCCGTTGATACTTTTCCCAAGCGACAACTAAATTCCAGTGGCCTGCATCCTCATCCTCCGCCACCAGCGTACCAATCCGACTATTGCTTGCATCGTCGTTGCCCTGGAGACAACAATACCACCACAACTACTTCTCCGATTTCAACTCTTTCCCCCGTAGAAATCTCTGGCAATAACTTCTCGTCTGAATTGCTAGCGGCCTCTCAACATTAGCAACAACAACACTATGGGTTCCCGTTGCTTCAGCAATTGAGGCCCAGCCTACAAAGTATAAATACATGGAACAGTAGAATAATCCCCAATTCAAACTATGCAGAGAGTTCAGTTTGCGAACTCGGTCCAGTCGACTCAGCCTATTTAGATGAGGCAGAATAACAGGGGAATTGGTGTTACACCTGCTGCTCCGCCGGCGGCGGCGGGTGGTGGCCAGGAGTCTGAGAAGAAGAAGATGAATCGGCTCCATGAGTTGGAGAAGCACCTTCTAGACGACGATGACGACGAGGAAGGATCCGGCGGGGACACTGTTTTCGTTATCACCAATACCAACAGCAACTGGTCGGAGACGATTCAAAATCTCATCTCAGCGTGCTTTTGGATGAGGCTGCAAATAATTCGCGAACTGATAAATTATGGAGCGCTAATTAATGAATGAAGGAGCACAAATTATTACAAGCAGAATTTCACTATCATATTTTGTTGCCTTCTTGTATTGGTTGGTGGGCGGAGGGATCTGGGGTTTTTGTTGCTTTCTCATATTGCTTGGCGAGGCCAATTATATTGACACAATTCAATGATTACTTTATTACTTTGAAGTTTCATATTGATCTATCCTCATGATTCATCGTCAACACTGTATGTCCATTGTTGCTTCCATGCTCTGTTCACTTCGGTTGTCCGCAATTGACTGGCGATTGTAGCTTGATAAAGTTCTTTCGACGCAAACAATTCGCCAGCTACACAATTCTTCAAATTGGAAGAAGAAATGAAAAATAGTGACCTCCTGTTGTGTAATTAATTTGATAGAGGAAGTCTAATTGGGAAGTTTGACAGAGGTTGGGAAGAAGAATAATCTGATTGTCTTTTTGATGTGAGGGAGAAATATGTTTATGTTGGTGAGAGGAAGAAGAGGGGAAAAGAAACGGGGAAGAGGAGGGTTAAAGTTGGGGGTTCATTTGCAATTATCAATAAGTTCAAATTATTTTAATCAATATAATATAGTTTATTAGCTAATAATTATTTATAAACAAATCAAATTATTGTAACCGTTAGATGTATCTAACGGTTAAGATTAAAAAAAAAGTGGGTGCGTTCAGTGTACCCAAAAAAGTGAGTGCACCGAAGTAGCCACCATATATATATATGTGGTGAGTTCGGCTAAATTACACGTTTGGTCACTTATTTTATATAAATTTTTCATGTTTGTCATCCAAATTACTTTTCTTTCTCATTCGCCACTAACTTTATGAATCGTTTCACCGTGAGACTCCGTTAAATTTGTCATAAGTGGTAGTCAACTATAAATTTGATCGTTAAGTAGGTGACGTGGAAATTTAAAAATTTTAAAAAGTATATTTATTTTCCACCTCATCATTGAATAAGTCTATGTGATTTATCATATTAATTATTTAATAAAAATTAATAAATTACAAAAATTAGTTATCGGTGAGGAGAAGCGAGTTGAAGTTGTTGGTTCACTTACCCTTCAAATTCCTTCATTCCCTTCCCAACCGCTCCACCGCTAATCTCCCCGATCCTTCTCACGACGAACGCCATCTCGTCTGCGTCACCGCCTTCTATACGATGCTCCCTTCGCCACTCGAACCCAGAAATGCCTGCAGTAGCGTCTCCATCTCCGTCTCCCTGTCCACCATCACCAGTTTACCCCCTCCGCCGCCCGCGCTACCACTATTGCTCGCAGGCCTCGGCTCCTAGTCTCCGTGGACTACTACAATCTTCCTGATTATTGTCCGAAGAGAAATTAAAAAGGCGATGGAGACCTAGTTTCCACCAGATTCTAAATTATTCAACCTGGCTATAGTTACTTGACATAATACAAGAACAATTCATTATATAAGTGGGTAAATATCTGAAAAAGGCCTTTTCTTGTGACTCTCTCTTTATCCAATCAAGGTTGGGATCCATCAGAATGTTTTTTTCTCTGCAGCAAGCATAAGCATCTCCAACGGCTTCTCGAACAGTAGAGCGCTTTTCTCTCGCTTGTCAAGCTCCACAGCCTCATCCTTCAAGCCATTTCTCTCGCAGATCGTCCAGAAGGTTTGCTCTTGGTTTGTATTCATATCAGCTCCAGGAGCGCTTAAAGAAATTATCCGTAGAGATGAGTCTCCAGTTGGTGGCGGCAGGATTAAGAGCATTGCTCAGAAGTGAGAACTGTCGCGTGTCAGCAAACGTCTCGAAATCGCAGGCGATTATTTCCAACCAATACTCGCGAATTAATTACCCAATGGTGAAATTGGATAATTAATTTTTTAAATTTAATTAATTTTTATTAAATAATTAATATGATAAATCATTTAGACAAAGTAGGTGGAACGTTGAGGTGGAAAAATATTTTTCTTTTTCATTTCCACGTCATCTAGTTAACGGTCAAACTTTACAGTTGACTACCACATAGGACAAATTTAACGGAGTCTACCGGTCGGTGACTAACGGTGAAACGATTCATAAAGTTAGTGCTGAATTAGAAAGAAAAGTAATTTGGGTGGCAAACATGAAATATTTGTATAAAATGAGTGACCAAACGTGTAATTTAGCCCGGTGAGTTCTATGGTATGTAGGGTGAAATCCGTGATACCGCATACCTTGAGCACGAAAACACTATCCAGACCTTGAATTGATTGATCTTTCGGATATGATACTATACTCTAACCCTTAAAGATCAAAATCTAGGTCTTAATTCTCTCTAATACCCCAAGATCAATTTTATTAGAAACAATGATCGACGATTATTATTCGTCCAAATATAGGCAAAAAAAGTGAATGCACCATCTTAGGATATATAGTTTATGTCTTTATGATTTAGATAGTTAGGACCTGGGGTTCTCTCATTAAGGGTGAGGGTATAGTAATACCCAATAATCCTGCTAATTCGATGTCTAAATAGCGTTTTCATACTTAAGGTATGTGGTGCCCCGAATTTCAACCGAGATACCACAGAAACCACCATATATATATATAAATAAGATAATAATTTAAAATTTTGATGACTAAAATAAAATTTACTTTACATATATATATATTAGAAACTAACCTCCTGAAAAAACACCTACATACCCTTAGGACCCACCCACCATCTTCTCCCCCTCTCTCTTCTCCCCCTCTTAGGGTTAGACCACTAGTTTTGTGGAAATAATTTTGGAGCCCGACTTTGGTCAAACCGATAGAGGTTTAACAAAGCTTGTTAAACTGTTTAGTTATTTCTAGGTCATGGTCTGGTCCACCTCACCGACCCAACCCGTTTCACCTAGAAAATTAAGTTCAAAGAGAGTATTGGGTAATTGGGTGGGCTTTGGGTATACCACTTTTCTCTCGTACTTTAATTTAGCACCATTCTAGCTGCTCTAATTACCATTCATTATTTTTTAAGTGATTCTGACGGTGGTGTGTTATGTGGAGTATATTAGGTATTTTAGAAAATTAGAATAAATTAATATTTTGAATATCTATTTTCTCTCTCCATAGAGATTTGATGCATAAACAAAATTGCTAGAAAAGGTCCTACTGGTTAAATTATGGTGGTTTTGGTCGGTATAGTAGTTATTTTAAATTACATCGAGTGATTTAATTGTTATTATTAGTGGTTTTTAATATAACGTTTGGTATAAATGAATTTCATAAATTTTGAGAAATTCATTTTGAAATAAAAACGTTCTGTGTTTGGTATTTAAAAGAATTCATTTTCAATTTTAAATTCTACGGAATGAAAACTATTTATAGCAATTTCGAGGAATTGATATGGAATTTCCAAATGAATTCCACAAGTATTTACTAATTATAATAGAATGACATAATTACCCTCATTTATTAACTAAATTAATTTTACATATATTATTTGGCCCCAATTTATGCAGGAACGTCGACAAGAATTTGATTGTAACGCTAGTAGCATATGCTGGTTATTTGATAGTTATGGTTCGATTGTATCAGTACGTTAAGAAGCCACAAAAGGGTTTATCAACTAGATATTATAAAAGAACTAATGCATAGAATAGAAACACACAAAAACACTTTTGATATTCTATGTATGGGTCCAAAGGAGTATTTTAATTTAATTCAATTCTAAACGTATGTCATACATGGTTTGAGAATTTTATTCATTTTATTTCTAAAGATTTGAATATGACATGCCAAACACAAGAATTCATTTGACAATGAATTCTACACAGTAATTCATTTTAAAATGAAATGAATTCTAGATTCATTTGGTACCAAACGGTACGATAAGTGATAAAAGTTGAAAATGATAAACAAATATAAAAAATGAGAACATTATTGCTTACTAGTTAACAAAATCAATTCTTGCAAAACACCAAATAATTAATAATAAGTGAGAAAATACTATTGAAAAACACCTAATGCATAATAACTACTAATAAGAATCACGAATCACCATCATTACTAACAAACAATACTAATAGGAATAATAGTGTCATTGCAAAACCCAGCGGTTGGTATACATCTCTTCTTTTCTTGGTCCCCAATCATGAACTTCGCAGACCCTAGAGGACTCTGAATCTACCGCTCTTCCGATGGAGGATTACCCCACCGCCGTCACCGGTCCTGTCTCCACCGTCTCCAAACTTTTGACTGTGGACTTAGAAGATGACACACATCTCGCTAGACAACAACGCTTCAAGGTCAGCTTTGAGTTTCACATCGACTGGCACTAACTAAGGGTATGCAATGGTCCGGTCCAGATCAATCTCAGGAGAACTACAGTCCAATAGTGAAAGACATATTAGGATCAAGGACCGAACCAACAGTGCATTCGGTACGCTTTGGTCAGGCCTATTTTTCTCCAATATTTATAAAATTTATGGGACCAATGACCAAGCCATATTATATTCGGTTGGTGTAGTTCGGTCAAACTCTCGGTTTAGTCTGATGCAGACTAGGCCGGTGCACATTGCTAGCAGTGACGACTTGAATCTCGGTATCTAGGATTTGATGTCGTTCTCTGGAGAAGAATCACCTTGCGACCAGAATCGTTGACGGTTGGAATCGCTCGACGAACACAAATCTCAATGGTGACGAACTAGAATCTTGGTCGTGACGAAATCAAATCTCCACGAGCCTTCTACTGTTGCAGTTACTTAAACCGTGGTAGTATTGAGCCTTGTTGGGCCTTGTCCGAGTTGTAGTAGGTACATATACTTGGACGTACTCGACTCTTCTCATTAGGGTTTTAACCCTAGTATATCTCTATATAAGACTTAGCTACGAATCATGTCGTAAGCAAGCCATCAAAATGTAAACCTAGCCGTGAGCTCTTCAAAGCTCACCGTCGATTAGTCATGTTCACGTTGAACAGGGATACCACGTAAAACTCTCGTGTTCTGTGTTCTTTTCCTTCCGCGTTATAAAATTCACATGGTATCAGAGTTGTAGATTCAGCTAGTCTTCCGCACACCAGCGAAGTTCATCACGCTGGCTTGTTCTCTTCATCAGCGACGTTTATTCTACTGAACATAGTCAACATACGTCGTCGTCACCGGCGGCGAAGAAAGCGTTGTCACCAGCGCTATAATCAAGTTCATGTCTCCACGCCGGAAAGGGAAACGGTCCATGACCAGCATAGCGACGCCACCGATGTTGTCGTCCCTAGCCTCATTGACCTGCCCCTGTCTCCGCTTTTGAGAGAGCGATGACGAAGTCCTTCCCACTGTAGCATCTTGCCGCTTTGTCTCCAGGAGTGCGAATGTCCACTCCGGTCTCCACCGTCAACTCCGTATCGTCGTCGGCGGCATCGGCAAGACGGGATCTGAGCCTCCGCCATTATCAGACTCGCTCGTCCGCAACATCACCGTCGTCGAGTTGCTTCCTCGTCGATCGCATCTCGTCTTCCTACGTTCTGCCACCTCCAGTGAGTGCTCCGCCGTTGGTACTCCTCTCCTCCTCGTCAATTTCGAGCCTGCATATAGCGTTGTCCTTTCGGTTTCATCGTCGGGTGATTTACTCAAGTTCGATGAAGAAGACGGAAAGTGCGATTGAAAAATGGGAAAGGAGAAAATGGACAAAGGAGGGGCGGTGCTGGAATTCCAAACCCATTTTAGGGTTTCCCAATCTTTAATTGGGTCGGAAGACACCGTAACCAAAAGGCATAAGGGTTCCTCTTTCGGGCTGCCATCAATTACATGGGTCGTGTCAAGTCACTTTTCAACTTCACTCAAGTGTTAAGTGTAGCCGAATTGGCCCTTATGGGTTTCCATATATGTTTTGGTAAGATTTTTTTGATGGGCTCTTCAATTAGATTTTGGGTCAGCTTTCATTTTTGCAGGCTTTCACCATCAAATATAGTCAAGTATCGATTGAGGCATTCATGTTCCATAAAATGGTCATCCCCCTGGCTTTCAAAAGGTAGTACGATCAGAAAAGTCATCGTCCAGTTGGCATTCACGATCCCAGAAATGGTCGTCCCCTCTTCCGGATCATTATTGGGCACATATCAACCATTCATCGCTTTTCAAGCTGGGCATCCACGATGTTCATGCTCTAGCTTGAGGGGGAGAATAGGAAGTCAACATACGTCGGTCGACTAATTCAGTCATCAGGTCGACCGCGATGTACCAAGTGTGTTCCTGTTCAAGAGACGCAGTCAACCGTCTCCATCATCAGGTTGTTTAGAGAGAGTCAGTCGTCTCCAATCACCTCGTCTGAGATGTTATTCATCTCGAGTTTTGTGGTTCAAGCCATCATGCTTATTCTTCACATTTACTTCTTCAAGCTCGACATTCTTGTCATTCATGTCTTCGCTTGAGGGTGAGTGTTGCGGCTACTTAAATCGTGTTAGTATTGTGCCTTGTTGGGCCTTGTCCGAGTTGTAGTAGGGACGGACACTTGGACGTACTCGACTCTTCTCATTAGTGTTTTAACCCTAGTATATCTCTACATAAGACATAGCTACGAATCAATGTCGCAAGCAAGATGTCAAAATGTAAACCTAATAAGAGATCAGTTGTGAGCTCTTCAGAGATCAGTTGTGAGCTCTTCAGAGCTCACCGTGGATTAGTCTTGTTCACGTCGAATAGGGATACCACGTAAAACTCTCGTGTTCTGTGTTCGTTTCCTTCCGCGTTATCAAATTCTACATCTACTATCAAGGCGGAAGATGGAAGCGACGCTAGAGAAAAATCACTTGACCAGCTGAATCCTTAATGGTAGTTTTTGTGGTTTGATAGGTCTGATAGAGAGAGAGTGCGGTCAGAAATTCATTGTGATTCTAGAGAGAGGAGGGAAAGAGGTGAGTGGGGGCAATTGTGATGGGGCGATGGGTGTGTAGAGAGCTTTTTATATTAGGATTTTGATGCAATATTACTATGAAATCCTTCAAATTGTTTTGACCATAGGATATTAGGATGGTTATTTCAATCTAAGGTTGTTATAGAAGTTAATATATTGCTAAACCCATAGAGGGTTAGCAACTAATCATATTTCATCTTGTAGTAGTCTATGCATGTGGTGGAGTGGTGTTCAAGCTCTACAGGTTGGGATGCTTAGAATAATGTTACATTTTATAGGGGTTGGACTCTGGTTGGAGTCTATTCTGCTTGAACGAGACTAATTCAGAGTTAGTTCGGAAGGATCTCATGGTTGACAATGGTATTGGCTAAGGGTTCTCTTTATTTCTTGCTTACCATAAACGACGATAGCTGAACTATTATAGGGTAAAACCCCTTTGTGAAGGAAGAAAGTTTCAAAATATGACAAGTATACCAGTGGGCGATACGAACTAGGAAACTTATAAAGACA